AATAAAATTCGAATAGGATTTTTTTGTGGAAGTTGATGAATTGATTCTAAAATTATATGGAAATTTATATGGAAGAGTAAGGGCTAATAATAGCTCTCACTCTTGAAGAAGAACCAAATACAAAAAAAAAAATCAATTCAAGACAAATAGAGACTTAAATGTGAAAGGAATAAAACCATAAAACTTAGAAGCCAATATATATATGAAAATATCTTTATGACTTTAGGGTAGGGAAGAATTTCTTAAGACACACAAAAAAGCAGAAAATGTAAAGATAAATAACTGATGAATTCCACTACATTAAATGTAAGAACTTATGTTTTCAAAAAAGACCATTAATCAGATGAAAATTTAACCTCCAAATTAGGAGAAGATATTTGCCAAACGTATAATCAAAAAGAATTAGTACTTGGAATGTATAAAGAACTTCTAAATATCATAAGAAAAAGACAAACAACTCAATTGAAAGTTGGACAAAGAGCATGATTTAGGCATTTCATAGAAGAGAGAACACAAATGATTCATAAAAATATGAAAAGATACCTCATTTTTAATCAGGGTAAGACAAATTAAAACCACAATGAGATGTTATTTCATACTCACTAGACTGGCAAAATTATTAAGCCAAGTGATGGTGAGGTCATGGAAAAACATGCTGCTAGTTAATGTGCAACTTGGTATGACCACTCTGCTTTACTCAGTGAAGTTCAACAACATGACCCAGCGATTTCACTTCTAGATATAAACCTTAGACAAATATTTTTTTTACACGTGCACCAGCCAGCAAGTACAAGAATGCTCATAGCAACACTGGCCTTGCAGGAAACTGGAAAAAAATTAATATATCCACCCCCTATAAATGGATAAACCAACTGAAGTATGTTCATGCAATGGAATAGCTGTAAAAAATGAATGAATCCTGGCTGGAACCATCATCAAAGGTAAATCTCAAAAACATGAGACCAAAAAAAAAAAAAAAAAAACATGAGGCCACCACATAAGGCTGTGATTTCAGGTTGTGGCAATGGGTTCAGTAGGCCCTGTAGTCTATTCTATGCTCCATGTGCCAAGCTGTACACACTGGCACAGGAATGCCTGTCCCTGAAGGGAAGGGTGTCTCTTCAATTTTTTTAACTGCACAAAGACCCTCTATAGGTTAGCTCTGGTCCCACAAAATCATAAGGTTGAATAGAAAGACAAATCAGAGAAGTACATATATTCTGTATTATTGTATTTCTATAAAGTGTGACTAAAACTAAACAATAATGATTCATATATATGTGGTAAAACTATATAGAAAAACAAGAGAGTGATTAACACAAAATTCAGAATAGTGGATTATTTCTTGGGAAAGGGGAAGCATCCAGTTAGGAAGGGTTCATGGTGGGTGAGACAGCTCTAAGATAGATAATATTCTATTTCTTTGGCTGAGTAGTGGGTACTCGAGTATCATGTTGTCATTCTTTATCCTTTACATGCCTGTTTTTTTTTTTTTTAAAAACCTCCTTATATATTCCATGTAATGATTTTAAATAAAAGGGACTCCACCCAAGAGTACTGCCTGAGGAGAAGGGCTCCCAACAAAAGGTTTGGACAGGGTAGCTTGCCAAGGGGCCCAGAGCTGAGGGTCTGAGTCCTAAGTAGCCACAGGAGGGGAGACGCTGACTGCCTCATGTGCAATGAGCTGGGAGGACCTCAATGGGATGCGTCAAAACTGCTTCATGAAAAAGCAAAACCACAGCAAGATGGGGCACCTGGGCAGCTCAGTTGTTGGGCGTCTGCCTTCGGCTCAGGTCATGATCCCAGGATCCTGGGATGGAGCCCCGCATCAGGGTCCCTGCTCTGTGGGAAGCTTGCTTCTCCCTCTCCCACTCCCCCTATTTGTGTTCCTTCTCTTGCTGTCTCTCCCTCTGTCAAATAAATAAATCTTAAAAAAAAAACAAAAAACAGCAAGATGACTATTAGAATGAAAACATATGTCCATATAAAAACTTGTACACACTTGTACACCAAGGTTCATAGTAGTATTATTGACAATAACCCCAAAATGGAAACAACCCCAATGTCCATTAACTGATGAATGGGTAAATAAAATGTAGTATATCTCCAAGTGGAATATTATTCAGCAATAAAGGAAATGAAGTGTTGATAAATGCTACAGCATGGATGAACCTTGAAAACATGCTCAGTTATAGAAGCCAGTCACAAAAGACCACAGATGGTGTGATTTCATTTATATGAAGTGTCTAGAAAAGGCAGATCTGTAGACAGAAAGTAAATGAGTGGTTTCCAGGGGCTAGAGGGAGTGTTTGTGTGGGAATGAAGAGAGACTGCTAATAGGTATAAGGTTTCTTTTTAGGATGATGAAAGTGTTCTAAAATTGATTGTGGTAATGGATATACATCTCTGTGAATATACTACAAACCAGGGAGTTGTACACTTTAAATGGGTGAATTATATGGTCATGTAAATTATATCTCAATAAAACTATAACTAAAAAAAAGAAAGGCTAAAATTTTTAAAAAATTGGTAATACCAACTATCAGTGAGAATACAGAGAAATTGGAAAATTTGTACATTGCTGGTGAGACTGCAAAATGGTACAGCCACCTTGGAAAACAGTATAGCAGTTTCTTGTAAAGTTAAACACACTCTATACCGTATGATCTAGCAATTCTATACCTAGCTATTTACCCAGGTTAAATGAAAACCTATGTTCACACAAGTCTGCATAACAACATTTATAGCGACTTAATTTTAATTGCTCCAAAGTGCAAACAACCCACATTTCCCTCTGAGGAAATGGATAAACACACTGGTACATCCATACAAATGAAACACTACGCAGTAATAAAAGGAACTAACAACTGATGCAGACAACAGCAAGGATGAATTTCAAATGCATTGTGTTAAGTGAAACAAACCAGACTCAAAAGGCTGCATGTTATATGATTCCATTTACATGATGGGAAAGGCAAAACTCTAGGAACAGAAAACAAACCAGAAGTTGCCAGGAATTAGAGACTGGGAGAGGTGCTGCATATAAGGGGACAGGGGGACATTTATTGGTGCGATGCACTGTTCTAGATCTCGATTGTGGTGGTGGTTACAGAACTGAATGGGTTCATTAGAACTCACAGAATACTATACACAGTATACTATAAAGAATGAATTTTATTGTATCTTAGATTTTACCTTAATAAAAGAAAAATCCCCACCCCCCCAACGCCCAAATGATCCCATGAGAAAAAAAATCTCATGAACCAGAGGCCCTGATGCTAGATGAGAATTTATCAGCTACCTAAAATTGTGCTTTTTTTATTCTAACCCCTCTGCCCCTAGGGGAAATGCAGTAGCTAGGGAGCAGAGATGAGCTAAAAGAGTAAAAAGAAAAAAAGAAGCTGACCTTGTCCCACCACCAGCCTGTTCCCCCTACCACTATAGGATGGCAGCCTAAAACAGTGCCGGACCAAGGGAGGGGAGAAACTCTCTGTTGTATAAAAACTTGAAGTCTTCCCTTGTTACATTGAGCTGGATATTTGCTAAAATGAAACTGTTCTTGTAACTGAGAGGCCAGAAAAGCTATGGGATTGACCTGAATTCAAACAGGGGCATGGGGAAAGAATCATACCACAGAGGGGATTGGAAGGAACAGTGGCAGGAAGAATAAAGTGACTTTATGATCATCTCCCTGTGGAACCTGGTCTTACTTCAACAGTTAATCGTGCAGTCAGTATGCTAATTACAAAGGACTCTTATCCAAGCCCTCCACATGCTGAATAGAGAGCTCCTTGTGTTCCAAATGAGAGAAATAGTATTATTATAGCTTAACAGAATGTAGAAAGCAGGACCTATTTCCTGATGATCCAGCACCAAGGCGTATTTCCTGAAAAAGTGAATCGGGCCCACTGTACAAGCATGAGCAGCATCAAGGCATGATTCCATGATCGTAGAGGTAGTCAGATACCACAGATGCCAAATGCTGTAAGATCCCCATTAGGAGGAAAATTTGTCCGCCACGCACATCACTGTAATCCCGGTGCCTAGAACAGTGCCTGTGACAGAGGAAGAAAACAGGTTTTGAATGGCTGCATGAATGGAACTCCAAGATGCAAGTAGGAAAATGAGAAACAGGGATGGCTTTCCTTTCTCTGGGCTTGAATTGCAAATTTTATTTAATTGCAATCAGAATGATTTTACAGATCGGGTTTGGGCACCTATGACAGTGCATTGAGTCCCAGCTTAAGAAGGGTAGTGACCATCACCTAAAGGCAGCTGGTGGAAGACGGCTGGGCTGGGCCCTGATCTGTAACCATCACCGGAAAGCTCTGTGTATGAAACACAAACTAGAAGAAAATTTTGTTCAGATTCTCCATGGACAATATTTTTATTTATTTATATTCTTCTTGCATACTCTAAAACGCACAGTGTGAATTTCCTTTCCTCAAAAACAGTTATGAGCCTGGTCAATTTATGGGAGCTCTTCAGAAGGTCTTCGGAAACGTTGCCTTAGGTTTGAGCTAAGCGAGTCACAGAGATTGGTCATGAACTACTACAAAATTACAGGAGATCTAGTTATTATCCAACAGTTACTAGAAAAGCATTGAGAACACCAGACATATAGCCAGACAGAGAGGGTAATAGAAGAGCAGATGCTATTTAAGTCATGGGATTTCCATACAGATGATTCTATGTACAGTATCAGAATTCTCTTACAGACAGTAAACTTATGCTTTGATCATTATTTTAAGGGCACTCTAATATAAATACAAGTCTCACTAATTTTAATCTTTTTTCTTTGGCTCACAAATGCACGAAAATACCATAAACAGTTTCCTGAACTTACTGCATTAATATATAAATAAGATACATTACAAATGGGAAGAAAATACAAGACGCCTCTTTAGCATGGTAAATCTCTGAATATAAATAAGCAATTATTTCATTTACCTACAATTTAAACAGTCGTCATTTACCTACAATTTAAACAGTCATTGAAATCATTACATGTGTTCTTCCCCTACCCCACAAAGGTCAGACAACAGAAATATACACAATCTACACAAATTAGTCCCCCCAAATACAACAACAGCACACCTGTAACAATGACTCCGCTACAATTTTCCCCTAACAGGATACTAATGGAGAGGGTGTGACTCTTGTCATCTAGTGGTACTTTGTTTCATCCGTCATCACTTCAGGTAGGAGAAACATTGACAACGAGGTCAACTCTTGCCAACAGTATGTCCCTTGGTCCCTATGACACAACATCTTGAAAAACATCTTTCCTGGGATTGTTGGGCAAGCTGGTTTGCAGCATGTTTGGCCCCTCAGTAACTGCTGAAGGTAAAGTTAATTCTCTTGGAGTGAGAGACATGCTGTGATCTATCACCAAGCCACACTCACGATGATACAACATACGCATATAGAGAGAGAGGTATATATAACTGTACATATATACTGTGTTCCTAATGGGCAACTTTTTAAAAAGAACATTATTTCCTACTAACTATAACAAGCTTAAGTAAGGTTTAAACAGTATTCTTTGAGATATTATATTTCCCCTCAATGAGATAGCCTATGTGGTTTAGCCATTTACAGAGGTTGTTCTAGAGTGCCAGAAGGAAAAGGAATTCCCATAAACTCATGATCTGTGGAGGGCAATTACAGATCCTGGCCCAGTCTTTCTATCTCCTCAATGAGGAAGTCAATATCAGACTGCGTAGCGGCTGGGTTTGAGATGACCATCCGGAAAAAGTTGGCCTTGTCCCCCTGAGGCTGGTAGCCAACCATGGTCGTGCCAGACTCCATCATCAGCGCTTTGATTTTGGGGGCCACCTTGTGATGGAAAACAAAACAAAACTCAAGACCAACATTAACACCACTCTCTTCTGAACAATGCAACCCATTTCTTAGTTGGAAAAAAGAGCCATTTGTTTTTTACTATCTGTATCTATACCGGCACAAAGGCAAATATTTTATATCTGAGTTTCTTCAGGGGTTAATATCCAATGACTGAGACTACCCAATCATAAATTCCCTCAGAAACTACCGTGTGACTGAATTTTCAAAGTCAGTCATAGAACAATGATAAAATAAAAAACAAAAACAAAAAACTCTTATAGGCTGCAACACAAATTAAGGCTTCTGAATAATCCAGAACCCAGGATCTTGCCTGGCACATAGACTGTGCTCAATGAATATTTGTTGGATGAATGAAATATTATATAAAGTCAATGCTAATACCAACAACTACAAATAATAAACTGGATATAGAAATCAACAACTAGAATGAATCAGCATTAGAGTGGACTTGAACTTAGTAAAAGACATTTTAATAGAGTTTAATATGGACGTTCCTAGGAATATGTAGATCATTCAACAGTCCTGCACACAGCAACACCAACCTAAGACAGAGATGTGTCCTTTAGAGGTTCCCCCTGTATCTGATCACAGCAAAGGGACAATCCAGATTCGAAAAGAATATAACAAGATGGCTCCCTACCACCCCAAGTCTTTATTTTTTATTTTTCCTCCATTAGAAGGACACAGTAAAGTGTGGATGTTATGACCAGTTAGAGAAATTGCATAGGGTTAGATGAGACAAGGAGAGATTCCATACCCTGTGTAGTTTTTCCCGTCGTTCAGGGCTATCCGGAATGCCCCTGAGGCTTTGTGGAATATACCAGAAACAGACATTTGTATGCTCAGGCTGCAGAGATTTTCACAAACAAAGAAACCAGAAAATTATGAGAACTTGAAAGAAAGTTATTCCCAAACCTCTATGTGCCCTTGGTGAAAGGCTCTCAGACCAAAAAAAAAATTTTTTTTCATAAAGGTCTTCAAGTCCATCTTGAAGGCAATGTTACTTCTATACTAGGGAGAACAATGCCTCGTTTATCCAGTCATATCTGGCAAGAGAGCTGCTTCCTATAACCAATTTTCTAGATGACCTAAGGTTACCACCTTTAAAAAAAAAAAAAAAGATTTCATTTATTTTTTGACAGAGAGAGACAGCAAGAGAGGGAACACAAGCAGAGGGAGTGGGAGAGGGAGAAGCAGGCTTCCTGCTGATCAGGGAGCCTGATGCGGGGCTCGATCCCAGGACCCTGGGAGCATGACCTGAGCCGAAGGCAGGCGCTCAACAACTGAGCCACCCAGGCGCCCCACCACCTTTTTAAAGATTTTATTTATCTATCTTAGAGTGTGTGTGTGTGTGCGTGGAGGAGTGGAGATAGGGACAGAGGGGGAGGAAGGAGGACAAGCAGACTCTGCGCTGAGCGCAGAGCCGGATGCAGGACTCACTCTCACAACCCTGAGACCATGACCTGATCTCACAACCACAAGACCATGACCTGAACCGAAATCAAGAGTTAGCTGCCTAACTGACTGAGCCACCCAGGCACCCCATTCCTGATCTCAAAGTTACTACCTTTAAACATTGAAATGTTAAAAAATTATTACATTTGGGTAGCTTTTAAAAAGAGTATTATCCATCTTGCCATTTTGTAGTGCCTCATATATAGAAGATGCTCAGCACAGTTTATTTGAATGCTGAGTATGTTATGAATTAATTATATTGATACTGAATCTTCTCTTGATGGCTCCGGATTATTATAATGGACATTAATACCATGTCTAAACCATAAGACAGGTCTCACTGAGGTGCCTAGAACTCTTTAGTGTCTCTGCTCTAAAACCTCCTATCCTTTTCCAGTTCTTCTGTATTCTTGCCATAATTTTTCAATTTCCTTCCACACTGCTGTTTATCACTCTGCCTGCCTCTACCTGGCTTGAGATATCACACTTGTCTCTAAACTGCTAGAATATTCAAAATAGTGTAAATACTCCAAGTGCGGTCCCATAGGTGAAATGCATGAGCACTGTGTCATTAAGTTGAACTGCTCAGGGCTTTTTCTTCCTCATTGGGTGACTCTGCAGCACGTTCCTAATAGTTTAGATTCCCTGTTAAATAGACTAAGTTGAATGTAGGTGGTGTTATACTGGTTTATACTGGCTCCCATTCTAACTTTCTTTATCCAACTGTGAACTCCATTAAGTCAGAGACAGTGTCTGTTTTGGTTACTACTATATAACCCAGTTCATGGCATGGGATCTAGCACACAGTAAGCATTCAGTCAATACTAATATGACAAGTACCTTATTGTGGGCAATGTGGATATGAACTCAGGGCAGGAACAAAAAAAAAAATTTTTAAGAGAGAGGGGGTGTGGGGGAGGGGGAGGGCAGAGGGAGAGGGAGAGAGAGAATCTTAAGCAGCCTCCACGCCCAGCACGTGAGCCCAATGCAGGGCTTAAACTCACAATCCTGAGATCATGAGCTGAGCTGAAATCAAGAGTAGGATGCTTAACCAACAAAGCCACCTGGGTGCCCCAGAGCAGAGACAATTTTATCTTGCTCTCTTCATAATGAATCTATGTAAAGTAGAGCTTCATTTTAGAACCAGTCTTGGGAGACAACGTTATATCCATCCTATAAACTTCTTGGAACTGAGAAATACTTTATCATGGAGGTTCAACACAATAATAAGACATACGTGGGAAAGGTAAAGGATTCAAACATGCCAAGTAAAGAGCTCTTCTCTGCAAAGGGCTGGTCAAAAGCTGTACCATTTTTGAAAAGGCAAAGGGCAAAAGTCATCCCAACGCTATCAAAAGAGAAGTTCATAGACACAGAGGGAAATAAATGAAGAGTACCTAAAAATAAAAATTCAGAAGCAGCTTCTGGCAATGTGGGAAAATATGGCTTCAGGAGCATCCCTCATTAGATTTTCTGGAAATGCTGTGTATCTAGTCCATGATGACAACTTACCTCCCCATCAAAAACCATCTCAAATTCTTCTCTGTTTTTAATCTTGGCATAGAGGTATTCAGCCAGTTCCAAGCATTTGTTGATCTGATTTTCAAATCCCACTGTACCCTGGTTTAGAAAAAGAAAAGTCATGTTGGTTGGTGATGGGTTGCATTTTCCTGCAATGAGCATTTGAGAAAGCTATGCTGACCTTGTCTATTGGAATTACACCTAAGAGTATTCTTGGAGATGGTTAGGAAGAACTACCTAATTAAATGAGTACAGTTTCTTCACAGCACTGCAAACAATAAAAGGAAGCACATCTACTCTCTTTGGAAGGTACTCTAGTCTCTGGGCAGTTAGTCTCAATAGGACTTTTAGCTTCCTTCTAGTCACTCACAGCCTGGGCCTGAAGCCTATTGTTAGTTTGCTTTAGAACAGCGTACTCAAAGTGTAGCTGTCCACAAACTGTAACTGGCGCATGCAAATATGAGAACAGAAATGAGATTAAGCAGTAAGAAATTTTAATAGCATTTTGACAGAGTAATTTTATGTCTACTGACTCTAGTTTTAAAAATTGATGTTTAAGCTTTATATAGTTTTTTATTTCATTTTTCTAGCAATTCATCATCATTTATTGTATTGGTCCACAATAGGTGAAACAGCAACCACAACAACAATTGGTTCTTCACCACAGAGTTTGTGAAATACTACTCTAGAACCCACCTTCCCAGCCGTAGGTCCTAGCCAAGCATGTCCCCATACTCCCTGGCAGGCTACCTTGCACATAACACAGTATCATCTCTTTTCGGTGCCAGGCAGGCAGGCAGGTGGGGAAGCCATTGGCTTTAGTACATGCACTGAGATTGCAGTAGTAGCTCTAGCTATTGACAAACTGGCTGAGCATGAGTTTCAAAAGCCCAGCATGGCTGATTAATAATAGCGGCATGGGGGTTGTTGAGTGGGTCGGTGTTAACAAGGTGAGCAGATGTGCAAGGCTGGCTTGTGGATTGTTAATGGGCCTGGGCAGAATCCAACACAGGCAAAGCATGAGCCTCCCCAAGTAGTCACTGCTGAGTGTGATACCTTCGCCAGTCCACTTTCTTATTTTTTTTTTCCTTTTGAAAGATTTTATTTATTTATTTGTCAGACACAGAGAGAGAAGAGAGCACATGTGTACAAGCAGGGGGAGTGGCAGGCAGAGGGAGAAGCAGACACCCTGCCGAGCAGGGAGCCTGATGCGGGGCTCGATCCCAGGACCCTGGGATCACGACCTGAGCTGAAGGCAGATGCTCAACCAACTGAGCCACCCAGGCGTCCCTTGGCCAGTCCACTTTCCACTTGAGAAAGAAGCCCGCACTGGGGTCCCACCTCAGCAACCAATTCACTATGAGCCCCAAACTCCTGGCAGATGGTTCAAGAGGTTATTGTTAGGCAAAATGAAGAAATAAATTACTGATATAGGCCACATGGTCATTATATTTCTAAATGATAGGGCTCTTTCTCTTGTTGCAATGCATGGCTATTTATATGCTTAAAATACCTATGATTACTTTGCAGTAGAAATCAGATTATTTCTATATTAAGACAAAATGACTTAATGAGAAAAAAACTAATAATCCATCAAATCCTTCCTACAGAAAAAAACATTTGATTAGATGTTTTGCTGGAAAACTTTGTTGTTTTGGTATTAGTAGACACAATCTTAAATGTGGAAATTATTAAAATTACTCTACAGTAGGTAAATAAAAACAATGGTTGCAATATAAAGCTGTGAAATCAAAATTGCCTTAGTTGATTGCATACTTTTGAAACAAATAGTCGAAATGGCAATCCTCTCCCTCACCCATATTTAGGGGGAGATTCCAATAGTTTGCTTTTTTTTTTTTAGACACGGAAATGCAATCCAAAAGGTTGATGAACGCAGATGCAGCATGCCTTAATCTAGCAGTAGGATTTCTCAGAATAAAGTATGCAGTTTTCCAGAATAGCATATAAAGTCCAAATAATGGGAAAGTCATTATTTAATAGAACTAAAAACTGTCATGTATTTCCCATGATTTGAAGCCTCATAAAGAAATTCAGGGTTCTGCATAGAATAACGCAGTAATTTTATCTCCCTTTCTCTACATCTGCACTAAATAATTTCAGCATCCCTAAGGATTATGGAGAAAGTGCTTATCTTGGCAAAATTTTTAGTTGTTACAAGAGAAAGTTACAAGAAAACTCCATGTTAATTCAAATTGAGGAGACTGAATGGAAGGAGGGAGATTCTGACATAAGGGATAAAGTGATCTCATTTGCAAACAAAGAAAATACAGTTAACTCCATTATCTAGATACTGATGACACACATATTAAATTATCTGCGATATATCTTTGCCTCTCCTTTGCCAGCCAGCCTGTGCGAATTGCACTTCTGCTCTGTGTCCTGACTTCTCTCCTTTGTACCTTTGCTTTCCACATCAGCCAGAACTTGAAAATGTCCACGTGGCGGCCACACTGGATTGCCTTGTCCCCAGTGTCATAGGAGACATCATACTGCTTGTCCGGCTGGAAAAGGTATCCGGCACACATCTGGTTGCATCCTTGGAGTATACCCTATCATGAAAATCAAGACAAGCTTGCATCTGTATTCGTCGGGTCAGAGATGTGAATGGCTTTGAAACAGGGCTGGTGGGAAGGAGGGACTTGGGATCACATGCAACCTTTCTTCTAATGTCTTTATAAGACCTTGCATTTGTTCTGGTATCTTTCTCGAAAACCACCCTTGGAAAAACTTCTGCCCCTTTGTCTCTGTCACTCTGACTAGAAAATGATTTTTTAGTCTCATATGCTTACAAGAAGGGACTCACCGTCCCCTCTAGGGGGCATTTGGGGTGTTTCAGGTTGTTTCCAAGACTGGGAAGTTCTATGGCATTCAGTGGACAAGGGCTGGGGATATAAACTCCCTGCAGCGGGTGGAACAGTCTCATGCTATGAAAAATTTTCCTCCCCCAAAGTGCCCCCCTCCCCAAGTCTTCTAGACTTTTCCAGGATCTCCTGTAATGTTAACAGACGCTCTATTAGGAAAGTAGTAAAGAGCTTGGGCAGGTTCTGGCTCCTACAAGCTAGAGACAGATTTTTGGAATGCCTCAGTGTACACACATTTTATTGGAGCAACAATGCTTTTGAAAGCAGGGTCCTATTATTAGACACTTAAAGAACTAACTTATTTACAGAAGCTTTTTAGTCATCATTCCTTATTGTCCTAAGTTGACATTTGCAGTTGTTGTTCTGCCTAATTTGCTTCAGCTCTTGGGACCACACACTCATGCTAAGAACTTGTAGTATATTTAGGGAGCTCTTTTTGTATTCACTGAGGTGAGAGTTGGTGGCTCACCCAATGGTGCTTACTTTTGCTTGTACAAACATGAAGGAATGAGCAACGAAATAACGTCCTTACAGTTTCTGTCACTGAGAGGGCCCTGAGCGCTGAACAGTAGGGAGGACAGGAGAGGGCAAGAGCCAAGAGGAGGCACGAGCTGGCTGTAGGCTCAGAGACAAGGGCAGGAAAGAACTGCAATGGTAGTTTCAATGGGGCTGTCAATCTTGCATGTTTGTCAAGTACAGGAAACCAAAACCAAAACAGAACGAAAACACGCTTTTCTCCTCTTGTGCCTTGTAAAGGACATTCAGGCTGCCAGCTCATCTTTGGAGGAGGTACAGACCTTTTCCTTGACAAGAATGGCAGAGCACTGCAACAGCACGCCCATCATCTTGTGAGGGTTCCAGGTGACTGAGTTGGCCCTGAAAGAAGCACATGATACACTCTGAGGAGAAGGTGCAGGAGTCAGCGAGAGGCAACTGTCCTCTTGAGGAAAACGCCAGCCGTTGCAACTGGAGTCGGTATACGTTTTCGATGCCTACTCCCCCAGATTGGCTAATCAAACAGTAAACAAATATTTTGCAGGCAGTCTCAGGGTCCTACGTTGCAGACTGCCTCTTCTAAATAACCGCTATTAATAATAGCTAACATTCATGAAGAGCGTTTATTATGTGTCCTATTGTTCTGAGAGCTTTACAGGCATTATATCAGTATGGTATGGTGGTTGAGAACTCAGGCTTTGGAGTCGGACTGTCCAAGTCTGAATCCTGGCTTTGACATTGGAGAGTTTGGGCAAGTAACCTAACTCCTCTGTGCCTCAGTGTTCCCATCAGTAAAATGGGGGGGAATAGTGTCTACCTCCCAGAAGTTAATAAAGGATAAATGAGTAGACACATATAAAATGCTTATAACGACTCCTGGAATACCTAATTCTCACAACAACCCTATGATGTAGGGATTCTCATCCCCTCTCTTTTACATGGAGAAACTGAGGCATGAACGGGTTAAATGCATCACCCAAAGTCAAACAGCCGGGCAGTGCCAGAGCCAAGATTCAAGTCCAGGGAGTCAGACTGCAGAGCCAGTGCTCATAACTCTTCTACTAGCCTGCCTCCTCTCGGCAATGGACCCTGGCTTCCCCCTGCCTTCCTGTCCTCAAATGCGCTGGCAATGCTGACCTACCTGCTTATGAGGTAGCATGAAGAGTGACACCTAAAAGCAGGGATCACCTGGATAACTCTAGATTTTGACTCCTTAGCAGCATTGTTGAAGTGCCAAATGAACAGGATCTTGGCAGTGTAGGTTGCAATGATGGCTGAACAAGCAGGGTTTCCTAGCAACCACATCAGTCATTCAGATACAATAAAACGGTTAAGGAGCTCGCTGGCTAAGCCATTACAGAGACAACTAAGGCGAGTGCCTGATGACTAAAACAGGGTAACTTGCTTCAGTGGTTGACAGACTCCTTCCCAATGGCCTGGCCCACAGCTGGGCTCCCCACTTTCATACCTGTGAAGGATATTTTCCCCAGATACAGCTCTGAATTATACTGCCTCTGTTCTCCCTAGAGCTAAATCCTTGCTGTGAATTTTTAACCTCTTCATCTTGCTGAGGTCCTCTAGATGGAAAATAATTTAGTGTCCAGGTGACGCTAGGGTGTGTACTATGTTTCAAGGAGATGTAAGGCCTGAAGTATTTTTTGCCTTTGCACATAGTACAATAACCTTTGTGAAAGAGACCTGTGAAGAATTCTTTAAAAAGGTGACTAAATGTTTATCACAGTAAAAATCATCAGTGTCAGGCCATATTTAAAAGGCAGTGGATTTAATCAATTTTCTCATAGCTATCATTTACTGAGTCATTAAAATTTTTTATTTAGATCTCATAAAATGTCTTAAATGGTTTTTTGAATGTCTTAGAGGTCGGAAGTAAATGGTTCTTTGCTGTTCCAAGTGTTAAGTAACAAGACATGATATGGATTCAATTTCTTTTAGAAGACATATGTGCTTTAAAATGTTAGAAAGATCTGTGCAAAACGTTTCAGGTTTTCCTGGACTCAAAGCTGGAAAATGGAAATTACCTGAGAAATCTAAAGTTCAGTTGGACTGGCTCATCTACATTTAGTATATTATCCTCCAAGTCATAGGGTCATATAATTATGCTTCAAAGAGTCAGTCCCACTCACCTTGACCCTGGCCCTCCAAAACTGAAGGGAAGAGGCACAGTAAAGGTAACTGAAACTCAAGCCAGAGTCCTTACTGTGAGAGAAGCCGCTGGTGGGTTTTCCCTGCTCCCAGCCCACCTCTCCACTTCACTCTGCTCTCACCTCTTCTACTTTGCTCCAGCCACACTGGCCTCTTTGATGGTCCTCCAATTTGCCAAGAAAAGTCCTACCCCAGGGCCTTTGTACTTGCCCTTCCACCACCTGGAATACTCTTTTGTGTATCCTTGCTTCCTGTCTCCCTTTATCCCAGTATCCGCTGCAATGTCACATCCTCAGGAAGGCCTCTGACTACCCTGTCTCAAATGGCATGCCTTTGTCCTTACTACCCTGCTTTATTTTTCTTTACTATGAGGCAGACTGAATATCTCCTTGTTTATGAACAGCTAGCTCACTGGATGGTAAGCTTCAGGAAGGTAAATCTCTTAGTTGATAACACCTTCTAGATACTGCCTTATTTTTCCTACGTGTACCAGATACACATTTTTTTTTTTTAGAAAAGTGCCATAGATGGCTAGACTAAAGGCAGGTAACTGAGTAGTCACATCCATGCCTGCCTGGCTCATGACAGGTGCTCAGTAAATATTTGCTGAATGAATAAATGAATCGAGGTGAGCTCGTTTTGGATCAAATCTTTGGAGTCAGGTTAAAATCATGTTTGGTTTTATGACTACATTCTCTCTGATCAGAAGCTTCTGTTCCTGATACGAAATGTGCCAGGTTAGCAAGTGAACACAAGAAATGCTTCTGATTCTAGCTGGCGGGGTAGGGACCTGGTTCTCCTAGGTTGAGGTAGGGGTGTCCTGGCAGCAGTGAATGACCTGGGAAAAGCCCAGATGGGTTTTGGTGCCTCAGTGCTCCTCTGGGTAATCTTCTTTGCCTCTTCAGCCCGTGTAGGTGACAGGAGAGGGGACTGCCATTTGCAATGGGTGCAAGATCCAAACATGCCAAAGGCTTTGACCACCAACCAAGTAAACTCAGTGATTGAGAAGAACAGGGAACAAAAGGGGAGCTTCAGTTTGGGAGCTTGTGCAGAAGTGGCTCTGATACTGGGCCAGAAAAAATAAAAAGTAGAATGGGTTAGGGAAAAAAAAATCATATTTAGCTTAGAACCACCCACTGAACTTAAACAGTGAGCAAGAAAATAAATTAGTCAGATCAACTGATCAACTGAGTTAGATCAACTACATTAGTTAGAACCACCCCACTCTCAGCAGTAAATTTAATGAGAGAGAGGAGTGGACCAAATCCGTGCCCCTTTCTGTGCCCTTGTTAAACTCTCCTTTAGCCTCTAGATCCCTGCACTGCTTACTTTCTCTTCTCTACTAGCTGGCCACCTAGCAATCACGTCTGTCGTTGTGTTTACCACATTGTGTTGTCACTGTTTACTTATCTTTCTCTCTTTCTAAATGGTGAACTCACTGAGGACTCGTTTGACTGGGAATCATTTTCGATTTCCCAGTGCCTAGCATACAATAATTGCTCAGTAAATGCCTACTGAACTAAGGTGTACCTAGTCCGATGGAAGTAAGACATTGGGAATCAGGGTGGGGAACATCAGCAGACGGGGCGGCCCAGCACGTTTGACGGCCTGGATGAAAGGTGGCCCTGAGTTCAGGCCCTTACCTTTCTATGCCACTGAGTTTGTGGCGGTGCTTCCTGGACATGAGCAGCCCGCCACCCCAGGCAGCCTGTGAGGACAGAGAGAGGAGAGGGAGGGGGAGCAGTGACATTTAAGACTCACAAACCAATCACTCCACACCTCTAGTAAAATATGAAAGAGAACGTAAATGGTGAAAAGCATGAGTTTGACAAAAGGAACCCACACTGATTGTTCAACCAGTGGCAGTTGTAATTTAATTTATCATCTGTCACCTCTTCGCCAAAAGTTCCTCCAGGTTAACCGCAGAGCGGCTGTGAGAATGATACAGATAAATTGGGTCTGAGCCTGTGGTGCCAAGACCCAAAGGCCCAGCATCCTGTGGAAAGCCAGGGACACTCAGTGAGCCCCACCATGGCTCTGGAAGTGACCCAAAGGACTGGAGACTGCCCTCCGATTCTCCCTAGGGTAGAATTCTAAGGGCTCCTGAAAAAAGTCAGAAAGCAGCAACTCTGCCGGGCTTGGGGGGTCCCACAACGGCGAGACATTTTTGTGGGTATGCTGATGCAGGTTTACTGAACGGCTTGAGACACCACATGCCACAACAACAGCCTTTGTTGGTCATGTGCTCAACAGTCGGGCAAATTACCCAGCTGTCCAGTTGTGAGAAGTTATATCCGTAAGAGAATGGAGAGAGAAAAAGGAAAAAATACACCCAGTCTCACATGTGGAAAATGTACTTTTTATGTTCCTAGGAAAATTTGGGACAAAATCTCTTCGTTGATAACACCTTCCTATAGGGCCTTATTTTTCCTACATGTACCAGATACGTGGGTTTTTTTTTTTTTGAAAAGGGTCATAGATGGCTGGATTGAAGGCAGGCAGCTGAGTGTCCAGATTCACGGCTACTTTCTATACATTGTAGCTTATACTTTTTTCCCTCCGAAACCAGCTATATTCCACTCTGTAGCCATTTGTCTAGACACAAGCTTCCTGGAAAGGTGAGGGGGACTGTATTCTCACAAGGACCACAGAAGACAGCGGTGGGCAGGTGAGGAGCCAGATGAGTCCTAGAACATGGACAGGCCTGTAGTATGTACCCGTCATGAATGGCCGGCTGGAGGCCACAGGAGGGCGAGCTGATGGGACGTAGAGAGAGGGCTGGCTGGGGCATGGGGAGAAGCTTGCAGCAAATCGTAAAGCAGAGAGGTTTCCACCCCCAAACAGACTGGCTACTCTGTGAATGACAGCACTTACATCGACATGTAGCCATAGGTTATATTTCTCACATATATCTGCAATCTCCTGTATTGGATCAAAAGCTCCATACACCGTCGTACCAGCAGTTGCATTGACATAGAGAGGAACAAGTCCCTACAAGGGAAGAGAGACAGGCTGATGAGTCTTTTCAACCCTCTCCTTTCCACATGAAGTAGAAGAGCTGCAGTAGCCTTTCTTTCTAACACAGATCCGCTAAGCCGATGTGCTGTCAGATACAGTATCTGGGAGAATCCTTTGTTGGTCCATTTATTCATTCGTTCAACAAATAGCTTTTGAGCAACATTTATGCGCCAGGCCCTGTTTGCTGAGCTATAGAGGACTACAGCAGTGAGCACAACAGATGGAGATTTCTGTCCTCATGGAGCTAACATTCTAGTGGGGAGTGACAGACAATAAACAAAATTAAAGAAGCCAAATACATAGTATGTTCAACAGCGATAAGTTCTACAGCAAAGAGGAAAGCAGGAAAGAGTAGTTAAGTGTTTGGAGTGATGGGCAGGTAGCTCTGAACATCATCTGGGTATTATACATTTTAGAAGCTGTGTTGCTCTAAGGGTATTGATGTAATAATTATACAGAGGCATTGTTTGGTTATTTAAAACACGGTGGAAGCTGAAACATTCACGAATAGTCGACACAGTAAAATTTTCATGTGAACAAGAAATACATGAGTGAGTGGAGTAATAGGGCTAAGACAGGCTTGGGAGAATCTAGGAGTCCTAGGTTTTTTTCAAGCTCAGCTCCACCCATGCCCATTGCTCAGTCCTAGTGACATTTCCATCCATCTCCTCTACTGACCAGCAAACAGCTAAGGCTAGAGAATGAGGTACAAGGATGTAACCAAAACAACGAGTTGGTAAATGCCTGATATCTACCTGGCAGTGCCTTGTGGATACATCTGTTCTGTCAGATTTTTTTTTTTTAATAGAATTTATTGAGGCTGGATTCACCAAGTACCATGGGCCATCTGCCAAGGCATGGAAGCACTCTGCTAAACAGAAGCCTAAGCTAAAATGGTATTTGTTAAAATGAGATTATACCTAACAAGTAGCAAGTAAAAAGCTCAATTAGGCTGTATCTTCATGATGATTGGGTAGTGGATTTATTGAAGTACATCAAACTAATCACTTGGCATAATAAAGATAGGACAAGGGGCTTAATTAAGCCTGAGTTTCTCATTAAAAAAAAAAATGACATTGTATAGACACAGGTTTAAGGTGGAATCATCTCAAATTGGAAATAAGCAAACACCTGAGATTATAATTTTAGAAACACAATAAAATTACCTCTTATATTATCAAAGACTTTTATTGTCTAGGGCAGAAAGACGGTATTTTTAAAAATTTGTATTCACCAGAGTTTAGGTGCACCACAGAGTACATACCTTTTGCTTCGCATCAAGAATTTTTGCCTCTAAATCACCTGGAATTATCTTCCCCCTGTAATTATTAAAAAGGAAGAGAAATTAAAATGAAGAATCAATGAGATTGCACATGAAAAAAACTTCAGCAGCAGCAGAAAGTAATTTAATCGGATATTTTCAACAGACCATTAGCAGCTTGGCACACTGTACTGAGTCAGTGCTTAAGCACAATAAAACAAATTTAACAGATGAACACATTTAATACATCAAGAACCTAATATTCACTCTCCCCTGCCTACCTTTCATTGCACTTTATCAAAATCACATTGTCAGTTCCAAAGCCAAGTGCAGCTCCAGCCTTCTTTATGGAATAATGACTCTGCAACAGAGGATTGAGGTTAGAAATTAGACAGTCCCTTGTAAAACACCATAATCCACAAGCAAGAGCACCCAACTCACATGTTCTGAGGTGAAGAGGACCAGTTTGGGAACGGCCGCCATGCCCTTTGTCTTAACTTCTGGGAAGAACTTGTAGCGAGCAGCCATGATGCTGTACATGTTGGAGATGGCTCCCCCTATGAGCAAGCGGATATATTGGGAGGTATGAAGCTCCATCATTATTGTTTCTAATGACGAAGACTGAGCTGGTGTCTTAAGAGACAAGGGAGGCATGGGGCACCTGGGTGGCTCAGTTGGTTAAGCGACTGCCTTCGGCTCAGGTCATGATCCTGGAGTCCCGGGATCGAGTCCCACATCGGGCTCCCTGCTCAGCGGGGAGTCTGCTTCTCCCTCTGACCCTCTCCCCTCTCGTGCTCTCTATCTCTCATTCTCTCTCTCTCAAATAAATAAATAAAATCTTTAAAAAAAAAAAAGAGAGAGAGACAAGGGAGGCAGAAAGGGGAGGGACAATATCCTGATAGGTTTTGCTGGCTTCCCTATTGCCAGGCTTCCCTCTGGTCCTTTTGCCTTGGGAATACGAGTAGTCACACTCATTACCAAAGCCATCTAGGCAATCTGGCTGGACGTGATTCATGTACTCCAATGCCCATTCCACCTGAAGCCTAGACAGAGATATAAGAGGTGGCAATGGCAGTGGCTACAAAGAGACAGGCGAGTTACAACTTTCCTGCTTTGACTTTCTGCTCCATCCATTTACTGAACAAAGATGAATCTATTCTCTGAATCAGAAAGACAGAAAAAGAGAGAGTAATGGAGCCTACAAAAGGAAACAGTGACATTGCCTGGATACTCTCCTCAAAGAATAGCTCAACTGAGTTATTGAGTCATTTAGGAGAGCTCTAAGTTTATTAAAATAAAACTAAACTTGTGTTTACTTAAATAAAGATCACAAGGAGAATGGAGGTAACTAGATATGTCTGGCAATTCCTTGACAATTAAACAGGCAAATTCATGGCCAACTTGAATTGCCGGGACAATTGTAATTCTTATTTCTTTTCTTCCCCTTGTACACAATCATGCTACTCTGACACCACCCCACAGTGCTTCTTACCTTCAAGAATATCTGTCCTTGTTTTGAAGATTCTTACTGTATTTACATCGAACTAAAGAGTCAAAATAGATACACTATTTTGGCTGAAATTGATTAGTCAGTTGATAATGTTGATTCACTGATTCCCAGACTAAGCAAATTGTTCTTGACAGACTAGTTGTTTAGCATGATTTGAACACAACCTTTGTCAGCTTTTACAGCTGAGGCACAGGCTCTGTTAGTGCACATAGTACACAGCATTCTTGCTAGCCTTCGCCCTGACAAAGACAGGGCAGGAGTATTGAAAAAAAATATTTTTTAAGATTGTTATTCTTTCACAAGCTCACTTTATGTTTAGCGTTCTACAAATCTCGAGGAGAGTCAGGGAAAGAGAAGAGAAACATACCAGGAGAAAATATCCCATCACCGTCTTTACTTGACCATCCAACTATCTCTCTCATCTTCTTAAGTGTTATTTGTTCCATGAGGACAAATACAGGTGCAATTTCATATGTAAACCTGAAAAGGTGGTGAGAAGAAAAATGAACATACAGAAGTCAAACCACTTGTTTGGGGAACACAGATGATAGGTTTAGTACTTGTACTTGGGTTCTAAAAAAAAAAAGGTGTATTCAAAACCCCTAAAACATTTATTTCCTGGAAATGTAGTAAGTCATCAATCATAAAATATCAGAAACCAGCCTGGGTTACCTAGAGAGGTGGTGGAAGTGCCTGCTCTGTGCTTTCTCATCAACAAAATAGATGTTTATCTGAATGGGATGTCTTAGATGTGGTCCACCCAGAAAAATAGAAGGAAAGAAAATGACTTTCCTGGGTCTCCTTCACCTCTAAGATCTAAGATGATGCAGATGTTAATTGAAAAAATGTATTCTAAGATCTACATAAAATTGGTTTGCAACTGACCAAAACCAACTGCCAGTTTCATACCTGTAGAATCTATAAAACCCAGAGCCAAAATCTACCTTCTAAAAACAATGTAAACATCTGAAAGCTAACTGTGAATCTAATTGGAAATATTGACCCAGGTTTTAAAGATCTCAATATAATTATCTACATGGTTTTTCTACTGATAATCCCCAAGGACAGCTATGTTTCTATAATTCTCTGAAGTCAATATCCATCAAGAATAATTATAAGTGATGATTTTCTAATTACCAATTATAAATAATAAGAAGATAGTTAACTGGCATACACAGCTAACTGCAGCCTATCAGATAACCTGGTAGGCTAGCTTTGTCTTCTAACAAACTGATTTAGAAGTAGCAAGCCATACTCTTCTCAAAGCAATTGAGAACCGAAGCACAGTCAAATAGACTAGTCATTGAAACAAGATTGGTGGTACCAAGGATAGGGCTTAAGAGAATTCAAAGAAGGTCCATCCATAGAAAATTAAGCCAGAAAACAAAAAGATATTTACTGACTCTGAGGCTCTTTGTCTTTCTGCTTTTTGCTTGGTCTTCTTAAGCATTAGAGCCAGTGGGCTCAGCTCAGACCAGGCTTGCTGAAGAGAGATTCCTAGATTGACTCAGCCAAGTGATATGGGGAGATTTTACCATTGATTAGGGTGTTTGGGCTGAACGCCAATGCTGAGGACTAATGGGAATTCTTGCTGGCTTAATGATTTAGAAAAGCTATTTGCAAGGATGAGATAACAATTGTACAATAAGACACAGGTGAAGCTACTAAGTTTTAATCATGGAGTTGAGGGGAAGCAATCAAATTAATCACTTGGTGGTAAAAGAGGACAAAGAGATCCTGGAGGACACTCAGGATATATCTGTTGGTAGAAGAATTTTGTTTCCAAAAAGAGTATGTCCATTTTCCTTGGGAGGACCCTTGAAATTTAGGAGGAAGACCCTTGGAAATCATGTGTTCAGTTACCATCACCTCTGGAGGTCACAATCATGCTTTGGTTCTGCTCTGAGCCCCATCACCGTAGCAACCAACACTCCCTCATGTCTGATGGCCTGATAAAGGAAGAAGAAGAGAAGGATTCCTGGTTTAGCCTGTGCTGCTGAGTGTACCCAAGAGGCAAACTCATGATGTGCTTCCAACCATTCTTGAACAAACGTGGTATCAATAGTGCCACTGAGTTTTGTAAATGTTGGAATGGCAAAAACGTTTGCATGGTGGAGAGGTACTGGTGGCAGTGTGTGTGCTGGAATTTCTCTGGGAAAAGGCAGGGAACAAATGGAATCACACACCATAATATCAGAACCTTATCAAGGATTAGATGAAAGCTGAGTGGGAGTCAAGTCAGTGTTAGGTGGCCAGGCAGGAACCACATGGGGAAGGGAGAAGGGATGGCACTGAAGGCCAGGGGGTTGGTCCACTTCATGATTTAAATCAATTTAGATCCTAGGTTTGTATGAATTAGTGATTCTACATAAGGACAAGGAACATGGCCATTACTCTTAGGATTAGGAGGAAGAGTCTAGAGAGTTTGATCATGAGCCTATTTGATCTTGCCTGTTTCAGTTTTCTTATCTGTACCAGGTACCCAGTTCCTAAATTTATCTCTCAGTTTTGTTCAATAAATACATATTGAGTGACTATTCTCTGCTAGGTGGCATCTTATGTACTGAGGAGACGAAGATGTTATGACACCATTCCCAACCTTGAGGAGGAAACTTACTAGGATGAGTCCAGCATCTGCTTCTTGGCCTTGTAGCATCCTGTTTGACAGTCCCTGCTGGGGTCTGAAGGACCAGTTATCCCATAGCTAACACCAAGCTTATCCTGATTCACGGCTTTAGTCCTGACATCCTCTTCTGGAAGCTGATAGATTGGTCCATGGCTGTTGATCCTCAGCCAAGCCTGACAAATGGGCTAACATAGCGTTCTCTGTTTCTGACACTTTTCTTATCCTTCCTTCCCATCCTGGACCATGTTAACAACTGGGAGTCTGCCTATACCCAAAGACTTATAGAAGGCCTTGAAGTTCACTCTAGAGCAGTGGTTCTTACTTGGGGTCATGGAAGCCTCTGGGAATCCTAGGAAAGCTATGGTCCCTCTCTCCAGGAAGAAAATGAGGATATGGACATCATTTTTGTATTATAGGAGATTCTTTTCTTGCACCCTGGACTCCAAGTTAGGTACCCTTTCCCTAAATGACAGATAAAAGTAAATAAAGCCAAGAGATCAAAGGTCAAATATGGATTCAAAAGAAGCTGGTTAGATGCTAAAGCTAGAGTACAAGATGACATTTCAGAATCAGAGAACAAGAAGTTAAAACTGCAAAAGGCTGTGGGGTGAAGTTAAGAACATGGGATTGGAAGTAAGTGTTCAAAACAGGATGGTGATGATCATGAGTGACACTAAAGGAGAGTTCAAAGACTTTCTATATTCTGAGTAGGGTAGTGGGTCTGCCCTTTTTAGTGGTTCATCTCAACTTCTTAGTGGGATTCACTCCAAACTAAGGCAAATCGTTAAGAAGCTGTATTTCTCTTGTGTCAAAGTTTGCTGGTTGCTAACCAGTATCAATTTTCCCTTGCTTCATTCAGTTTTATTCAGGGTTGCAATTCATCTAGATCAAAGACTACATTTTCTAGCCTCCCTAAGTGTGGCCATGGGACTAAGTTCTGGCTAAAGAGATGCTATGGGAACTGTTGTGTGGAGCTTCTGAAAAGGTTTCTTAGAAGGAAAGACTGTGTTCCCTTTTTGAGCACTTGCCCTCCCTCCCTCCTCTCCTTTCTTTCCTCCATCTCCCTCCCTCCCTCTCTCCCTCATTTCTAATTCTGGAACACATAAGTGATGGCTAGAGCTCCAGCAGCCAGCCTGCACCATGAGGTGACTCTGAGTATGACAGCCACGTGCTACAGTATGGATTGGAAAGTCACAAGGAACCTGGATCCCTGGTGACTGTCAAACTGGCAACTTCTTTAACGAGAAAAAGAAATAGTTTTCAATGTGGACTCTCTAACTATACACTCCTCTTAGATTTCTCCTTCTTACAGATGTGGCAGGTGGCCCATCTTCACCTTAAAAGATAACATGTCTGAGGGGAAACTTAGTGAGGCCCTCTGGTTTCCAGAGATAATGACATACAGAAACAAAAGAGTTGATAGGCATCTCAAATGGCGACAGTGACCTGTGTAGTGACTGCCCCTCCTAGGTGAGTTCATTGCACCTTGCATACACTGGGCACTTTAAGACTGGCGCCTTCTCCAGTCTTCAGAGTCGCTCTGTAGGATGGATATTATTATCTCTCATTTTCTGAAGAAGGAACTGAGGCTCAAAGAAATCCAGTGATTTGCTTTAAGATCTCAGTATGTTTCAGAGTCAGAGTTCCCAGGCTTTTTACCTCCCAGCTGCTTTTCTATGACAAACGAGACCTGCTTACTGCAGGTTCCTCTCTAACAACCCGCCTAGCAGTACAAAATGACTGATAACTCCCACAGAAAATTTCTCCTGTGTAATTTCTATGAAAATAAAGCAAGGGATACTTGAAACCATAACCTCATAACAAAGGGCTGTGATAGATCTTGCCATTGACATTACGTATTGTCATTAGGTGCTTGAGGGAAGGCTGTTGTTTGCACTTGGGCACTGCTCAGCCTGCACAGTTATGCTCAGGAGCCCTATTTTGGAAGAAAAGAGCTGGACATGCCATGGACAACTACATATTTGTGAAATCTTCTTTGGGTCTTCACTGGGTCCTTGCTTGGAAGAATAGATCTCAAAGCTATATGCACAGGCAGGTGTAAAAGCATGAACATCAACGTTCTTTCTACTTTCTGTGAGCAGTCAGATCCCTTAAACTTTGCTACTTGAATTGGGAGACTGGATAGTTCTTTCTGAAAGACTATGCTGAGGAATATAGTTATTACTATTTCCAGTGCCACCCAAATGCAACGATAGTGCAGGTCATCAACATGAGTATGTCACTAATTAAATCCTACTGTGCCAAAGAAAAATCCTTTTGTCATTCTTTCCCAGGTTTATTTTGAACATTGTCCCCAGTTGGAGAAGGAACTGTCCCGAGGGAGCAAATTTCTGCATCAGCTCTGACAGTGCTGCCACATTTCATGGTCTTCCAGGGGAACAGACTTAGAACAATTTCTAGACAATAGTTATTACTTCTTCAGACAATGCCTTGTCTCTAGAACTGACAGAAACTATTTCACTATTTTAAATAACCTTCTCTATCGATCTGCTGGAATTGGGTCATATTTTATAAATATCTGCTGTGTTCAGTACAGCTGCAATTTCTATGTGCCATTTAGTTGGACTGGCCTTGACCTCAGATGGCTGGGACATATTTTAGTGTTTCATGGCTGAGCTGAGGTAAGGAAAGAGTAAGGGTCTTGATTTTATGAACACACACAAAAAGGAGAATTTGTGAGATCTGATTGAAGAAAAGCCTTTTAGGAGAATATCTGGTCATGAACGGTTCAAAAGAGTGAGTTCCTTTTATTTACCTTGAGATTGGGATATATATATATATATATATATATATCCCAATTGCAGGAAATTGCAGCTGAGACTCCCACAGAATATGCACTTAAAGATGCTGGATGAATTCAGAGCCTATGTTAATATGAGTACTTGGGCTTTAATAGATATATACCTTTCACTCTATTTTTCTCATTTATTTTCCAAATAGTTAAGTTTTTTTAAAAAGTTGTACTTCCCAGTTTAAAATTGTTCCTTAGTGTGAGATGCTCCAATTAAGCATTAGTGTCTTTTTTCAAGTTATAATTAGTATATTATGATGTCTGGGCTTGCTGATATATTTTATCTCACAAATCATACCACAGTAAAGGTTGCAAAGGCAAGTTTTTTGTTAGAGGAGGCCATATAAGCACTTGTATCTTTGACCCCAATTCCTCTTGGCTCTTCATAGCCTCAGTGCTCCAACACAGGCACTCCATGAAGTTAACCATGACTTGCAAACAGGGAGCACGAAAATCATTTTTGTTTCCAATTAATTTAATCTTTCGTGCCTTTTAGCACTAAAAGCTTCACTTGTCACATTTGCTTTTAAAAATTTTGTCACTGTTGTTTTAAATTAGCAAACAAAGCAGGAATCCTTAATTAATAGAAACTTTTTTTTTTTTTTTAAGGATTTTCTTTATTTACTTGAGATAGAGAGAGAGAGCACAAGCTGGGGGACAGAGGGAGAGGGAGATGCAAGCTCCCCACTGAGCAGCGAGCCAGATGCGGGCTCAATCCCAGCACCCTGGGATCATGACCTGAGCCAAAGGCGGATGCTTAACCAACTGAGCCACCCAGGTGCCCCAGTAGAAACTTTTCTGAATGTAGTTAGATATTTTGAGTCACAGCATTAAATAGCTTTGGCACACACATGTATCAATGTATAATTTTTTTAAAAGATTTATTTATTTATTTATTTGAGAGAGAGAGAGAGAGAGAATGAGAGCACACGGGAGGGGCAAGTGTAGGGTAGAGGGAGAGGGAGGGTCTTAAGGAGACTCCGTGCTGAGCATGGAGTCCTACTTGAGGCTTGATCTCACAATCCTGAGATCACAACCTGAGCCGAAACCAAGAGATGGTTGCTTAACCAACTGTGTCGCCCAGGCACCCCAATGTATAATTTAAAGTGACTTTTCAGGTTTTGTGGCTGGTAGTAGCTTGTTTAAGAAAAACAGAATACCTGGAACTTCAATAACTTACATTCTATCTTGATATCAAATGGAATTTCTCATTTTAAACAATACCCCCCTTTCACCTAAATTTGTTTTTCAAATCTACTTTACCATGAACTTAAAAAGTGGAAGGTTATTTTCTAAGTATTTCCACAGTAACTAAAACCCATATAATTCTTATGTAGCTATTTAAAGAATTATTGTTAGAAACTTGTTTTATTATTTTCCCCTGGATACTTTAGTAGAATGTGGTTCCATGGGCTGGGTGTATAGATAATGCTAAAACATTATCACAGTGTTGAGAGAAAAGACAGTACTCAGTAGGCTATAATGACCCTCCATCAACTTGTAACCCGTCCTTGTCTCCAAAGAGGGCATGTGTGTGTAGAGAAAATGCTGGGGTGATTGCAAGACTACCCAAGAAGTACTTGCACCCCAGGACCTTAGAGTCACTTTTTTTTTTTTTTAAGATTTTATTTATTTATTCATGAGAGACAGAGAGAGAGAGAGAGGCAGAGGGAGAAGCAGGCTCCCAAGGAGCAGGGAGCCCAATGCGGGACTCGATCCCAGGACCCTGGGATCATGACCTGAGCCAAAGGCAGACGCTTAACCATCTGAGCCACCCAGGCGCCCTTAGAGTCACTTTCATATAAATGTATAAGAAATTGGAAACAAATGAAGGCTTTGTCGACCCAAACAAGTATGGAAAAAAATGTCAAATTCAGAAAAACAATGAGTTACTTTGAAAGGAATATATATCACTATCAGTTGAATTTTGTTTTAGAATTTTTAGGTAAGCAACAGGTTGATCAAACTGGTTTGTGGCTCTCTGGCAGGTTTAACTGTGAAAGAAATATAGCCCTAAATGATGAGGACCAATCTACTTAGATGGGAAAATGGACCAAGATCATATTCCAAAATATGGAATGGACCACTTTAGATACATCATTAAGAGACATGGAGTCTTTTAACGTGAAATTTCACACTAAATTCTGAAAGCTAGAATTATTCTTTCTCATGACAGTGTTCTTATTAAATTGCATTACTCATTAAAAATAGCTTATTATTTACTATTTTTTAAAAGATTTTATTTATTTATTTGACAGAGAGAGACACAGCGAGAGAGAGAATACAAGCAGAGGGAGTGGGAGAGGGAGAAGCAGGCTTCCCGCCAAGCAGGGAGCCCGATGTGGGACTCGATCCCAGGACCCTGGGACCATGACCTGAGCCGAAGGCAGACACTTAACGATTGAGCCACCCAGGTGCCCGAGGATTTACTATTAAATCAGAACTGTGATAAAGCTAAAAGATTTTAAGAGAAAAGATGACTAAGAAAACTGTAATAAATTATTATAGAACCATTGGAAGTGGACTTTAAAGCAACAAGCCATAATCACATATCATGGTTGCTTATATGAAAATAATATGGGGAACTTACATATTGGTATTGGCAGTTGATGTCAGCCATTCTCCAGCTAAACCAATGATATCCAATCCAGTAGAGAGCTGGTTGAAAAATCGAGGATGACCTGGGAAGATGAGTAACAGGCAAGCATCAAGGCAAACCCAAATTTTTTAAGCTGTCTCCAAAGCAAAAGGCTGGCCATATTGATGGTGCCTCCATCCCAGTAGTCTAACAGGACTGCCCAAGGATATTGGGGAAGGAAGGGCGGGTTGACCCATGCTATACTAACCTTTAGCATTAATGATGTTCCCCAAACTTATGCTTCTGAAGCAGAATGCTTTTAAAGTTAAAAAAAAAAAAATCCTATGTCATGACACTAATAATCTTTCCAGTATCTAATTTGTTGATTTTCAGATGAACTTCTCTGCCCTAAGAATTTTTTTAATTACAAATCAGGATGTGGTGGTCCTAGTTTTACCTATAAATATTTCAACTTTTAATTTAACATCTCAAGGATTCAAGATCAAGCAGATCAACATTTACTGATGGAGGAGAGCCTGCAGGCCTCAGAGAGGGCCTGTGGCTCTGTGGACCAAACCAAGCCTGGGGAAAGTGCCAGCTCTGAGGCTGATGTTGAGGGCATGCCGTCTCTGGATCTCTGTGTCACTCAAATATTATGTCAAGCATTGGTGTCTTTTGCCCATATATAGTCAGGTGACCATTAAACTAAATTTATTGCTGAGATGACCTGGCATCTCCTCTGTGAAACTGAGGTAAACATAGCCTCCTTTACTCATCAAATTGTTGGTAAAATAATTGTTATTACTTTATAACTCTGAAACCCTTTGCAACACAGAGGATGCTTTAACAAGCTTTGTTCTCAGCAAATTCAGGATTGTTGCCAAGATTTGGCCAACTTGGTGTTCACAGGAAAACTCGATCCCACATCAGCAGGCTTGGCTAGGCTGTCACGAAAGGTGTCAATGCAATAGATTATCTAGGGGTGTGTGACAGAGAACTGGTGTTAGATATGCTGACTGCTGTGTTTCCAGTAGAAATTGCTTTTGCCTCTGAAATAACTGTCAACAGAGCTGGTGTTTGAATGTTCCTGGTCTGAGCCCCCTCTCTGAAAATGTCTGTTCTTCCTTGGATGTAATGGAGACTCATTTAGAACATCCAGACTATGACTTCTTAGAGTATACTAATCACCGTATCTCCAGAGTCCTCAAAAAATAATACTGCTCCTCAGGGGAAAAAATGAAAGATTCATAGACAGTAAGCTTAGTGTAATTATGCGGCCAGATTCCAGACATTCACGTAGATTACTCTAAATAGCTTAAACCAGTCCACTTTATTCTACTTTGCTCACCGCCAACAGAATCTATGAGATCTCCTGCAACCTAACGAATTTTGTTGCTATCCATTAAAAAAATATGCAATATCTGTTTGAAAACTTTTAACAATAAACGTTTTTTTAAAGATATTATTTATTTATTTGAGAGAGAGATAGCAATGAGAGAGCAAGAGAGAGCACAAGCGGGGAGGAGAGGGAGAAGCAGGCTCCCCGCTGAGCAGGGAGCCCAATATAGGGCTCAATCCCAGGACCCTGAGATCCTGACCTGAGCCAAAGACAGGTGCTCAACCGACTGAGCCACCCAGGTGCCCCATAACAATAAACATTTCAAGACAAGGCCAAATATATATATTATGATATATATATATCATAAATAAATGGAATCACACTATTGGACCATGTATCAAAGCCACTCAATATGGCAGAGACAAAGGATGAACAAAGATAGACAGACTGACACAAATGCCCTCAAATAAACATGAAACAGTATCTCTTTGTTCTTCGGATATATAAAGGAAACGAAGTTGTCTAAAACCTTACTTTTATCTTATGAGTACAGCATTATGCCCCCAAAATCTTATACCAGAATTTCTATCAAGTAACAAAATGACCTCTTTTAAATTTCAATTTCAAATCTCTTTATTCAATGATATAACAGATGATAGATGTGGTACCAAGTCAGGTAGTGGGAGAAAGAGTTATTTTTTCAAAGTTAACTTTTTCAATAAATAAACTTCAAGGGAAAAAATGGAGGGGGAAATCTATTAAGAGATATACTAAGCAATTACAATGTGGAGGACTTGCTTGGATCCTGACTCAGATGAATTATAACATTCATGAGACCACTGGGAATTTGAACACTGACCGAATGTTTGATATTAAGGAACTGTGAATTTTGGATTTTTTTGATCTAACAATGATATTGTGGTTATTTATTTATTTTAAAGATTTATTTTATATTTTAGAGAGAGAGAGAGAGAGAGCGCACATGCACCAGTGGGGGGGGGAGGGGAAGGGGCAGAGGGAGAGAGAGAATCTCAAGCAGACTCCCCAGTGAGTGTGGAGCCTGCCGCAGGCTCGATCTCATAACCCTGAGATCATGATTGGAGCTGAAATCAAGAGTCAGCCGCTTAACTGACTGAGCTACCCAGGCACCCCGAATGGTTATTTATTTTTTAAAGAGTTCTTGATGGGGCATTGGGGTGGCTCAGTTGGTTAAGTGGCCGACTCTTGATTTCAACTCAGATCATGATCTCAGTGAGCAGGGAGTCTGCTTGAGATTCTCTCTCTCCCTCTGCCTCTGCCCCGCCCCTCTCTTAAAAGAAAGGAGTTATTGAGAATGAAGAATATTTATGGGGATGCCTGGGTGGCTCAGTTGGTTAAGCGTCTGCCTTCGGCTCAGGCCATGATCCCGGAGTCCTGGGATCGAACCCCGCATCAGGCTCCCTGCTCAGGGGGGAGCCTGCTTCTCCCTCTGCCTGTCGCTCCCCCTGCTTATGCTTGTGCTCTCTCATCTTAAGAAAATAAATAAACAGGGAAGGTGGCTTCCTCCTGCCCCCCCAAAAGAATATTTATGGATGAAATAGTATATCTGAGATTTGCTTCCATATAGTAGAGAAGGGGGAGGGGTCAAAGCGAAACAAAGTTGTCAGGAATTGATAAGAGTTGAAGCTGAGTGTTGGTTACATAGGGTTCATTATACTATTCTACTTCTGTATAAGTTTAAACTTTTCCATAATACATAGTTAAAAAAAGAACTAAGGAAGTTGGTATAGCTATTGTGATTGAGGGCTGACAGTGTCTGTGTCAGGTCATGAAGAATCTATACATACTTGTTCCTTTTTTTCAGAAATATTTTATTACTTTGTAAAGAGATTTCCAAATACCACCATCTCTTCACAAACTGCACCCAGCTCAGTCAGAGATAAGAGACAATGTTTTCACTATTAAAGCCCAATTCAGTATTTTGGCTAAGTATTAATACCCTTAAAAACAAACAAAAAAAAACTACCTCCCACTGTGTGTAGCTACCTGTGGGGTTTACCCTATGGCTCTGATCTACATCTAAATTAGAGCTCAGCAACCAGGAGCTGTGTTTTCATATGGCAGTAACAGTTTACTTTCCCAGGGTCAAGACCCTGAGATGCAGCAGAAGGTTTCACATGGCCTGAGAGGTCACGAACTCTATAAATGTAAATACCTGCTCCCAGATGCTACGCTAAAGAACAGGGATGAATGGCTGCAGGCTAACTAAGCGGAGTCATACACTGCACTCATGAGTCCATGCTCCTATGACCATGTGATACTTCGTTTTGTAGGCAGTATGAGCTGCTAGTTATGAGGAACCCATGTATTTTTCTTTGAAGGACAACACTATTCTGAGCTTTAATGATAGAAGTACATGGTTTCATCTCTCTGAGAAAGTGCCTACAGAGAGGCCTGACAAAATAACAAACAGTGGCCTAAACCATGTCCAGCTAAGACATACATGGAGAATCCAGACTCTTTTTTTTATCTAGCTATATAACACTACTTGAGCGCCATCAGGAATAGGTTAGCCATCAGGCCAAGGTGAGTGGTAACTAAATTGATGAGCGTGCTTTTCTTTAAAAATCAAACACAGACTTTATGACATAATTAAGCTTTGTCCATCCTGCAGTTATTCGAGGAAGCTACACTTATGTCAGTGGCATTGGCAGACCTCAAAAGCTGTTTGGGATTCCTTATTTAAAAATGCCTCCCTGACCGGCCTCATTATTCCATTATAACACTTTGTTGTTGACACCCAGTAGTCTTACTCAGCTCTATCACCACCAAGCTCCCTAGTCTTGGCCTTAAATCTCTCTTCCGGTGACTAGGAAGAGTGAGAGGGATAATAAAGGAGAGGGAGAGAGAACGAAGAAAAAAGAACAAGGGGCTATCAGGGGCTCCCCTGTGGTGGCAACTCTGCCACGGATTGCCAATTCCTGCAGAAGTGTGTGCCCAAGAGCTCAGGAAAGCCAGGCTGCTGTGGAGAAAGAAGCAGTGAGAAGAAACCATTGCTTTACTCCTAGGCTTAGAAACAGCCAGATAGAGACCCAAAAAGTCCTCGAACCTGAGGCACCTGGGAAGTAACCACTTTGGCCAGGACCACTGATTAGAGAGGGTTCCTGTAACATGAAAAGGAGCAAGAGGGCTTCCTCAAGGGCGCCCTGTTAGAGATAGGATTTAGTGACCCAGAGCGTCTCAACTCCAGAAGTTGGAGTAGGATGCAAATAGTGTGTGTGTACGTTTGCCTAGCCAACAGAAGGTGCTGTGGGTTGAATTGTGTCCCTCAAAAAGATATGATCAAGTCCTAACTCCTGATTACTGTGAGTGTGACCTTATTTGGAAAGAGGGCCTTTGCAGATGTAATCAAGTTAGGATGAGGCCATAACTGATTCGGGTAGACCTAATCCAAAGATTGGTGTCCTTATAAGAAGAGAAAACTTCGGACACATTCACAGGGAGAAGGCCAAGAGAAGGTGAAGGCAGGGATTAGAGCAATGCATCTACAAGCCAAGGAAAGCCCTCGACCACCAGCAGCTGGAAGAGGCAAAGACGGATCCTCCCCAAGAGTCTTCAGAGACAGCATGGCCCCGCACACCGACATTTCAAACTTCCAGCCTCCAGAGATGTGAGAGAATACATTTCTGTTGTTTTGAGTCGCCCAGTCTGTGGTAATTTGTTATGGCAGCCCTAGAAAACTAATACAGAAAGGGAGGGAAATGGGCCCAATTCTCCCCAGTTTTAGGGACAGGCAAGGGTAGGATTTATCAGAATGAAATGGGCATGAAATGGAGGGGAGAAAAGAAGTAGAAGGCAGGTCATTTTGCTCTTTTTAGCTTGTGAATAAATCCAAAGAATGAAAACTCTTTATACAGAACCTGACACAGCACCGTGTGTTTGTATTTTTAAATTTATGTTTACAATAAATGATGAGCTTTGGCCCGGGCTGGGCCTTCCACCCCCAGCCACTGCCCAAGGTCATTCTGTGGTCACTGAACACACTGCTGCCTTCCCTCACCACCTTCCACACGGGTTTGCCATCCTCGACCGGCAGGGGTGTGAGGGAGGGCAAGGTTCCTGCCGCGTGTCCATCTGGCTCTCGCCCTTACCTGTACGGACCCCATACTTCAGGGTGTCTCTGCAGTCAACCAAGATCTGCTCCAGGGACTCGGGGTGGTCTGACAGCTCCAAGTTGAAGCCCTCCATGCCTTCCAGCAGCTGGTGTGGGTGATGGAAGTCCAGCACCTTGGTGGAGCGATCAAATGTCTTGCGGACATAGTTGAGGAGTATGTCTACCACTTCCAGCAGGAACTGCACAGTTTGCTCCTCCCCATTCTTTGCCGGAAGCAGATCTGAGGGGGGGAAGCCAACAAAGTGGTTATCGCCTGGCCCATGTCTAGGTTTCCTCAGCCCAGAAATCCCAAATACCAGCCACAGTATCTTTACAGACCTAATTTACTCCGGGTTATGTATACACATGGAGAACCTGATGTACCGTCTCCCCAGAAAAATGCACATATGCCTACACACAGAGGTTTTGCATATTTTCTGAAGGTTGACAGACTTTCCAATAGTTAGGCTGCTCATAAACCGAGAGCTCTGAGAAGCCATGAGCAGCTGGTCACAGTTGTTGTCCACTTGCAGGCTGAGTGGGCACCTGTCAGGAACATGATGGAGGAGGCCTCTGCCCTGCTCCCCTGCGACCAGGTGTGTGTCTCTATATCTGGTTCAGACGCTGGCCTTCTGGTTGGCCTTATGATACACTTGATTGTTGACGGCAGAGGGTGAGGGTTCTGTGGGTAGAGGCTGAGGTCCCCCCTGCAGAGTAGAGTGGTCCTCTGTAGTGTCCTTAGAAAACAAGAGCTCAAATATGGGGCTCAGAAAGGTGGGAAAGGAAACTCCCACATCTCTCCCTCTCAACCTCATCCTTTGGGCTTGGGCTTTGGGATGTCTGGGGGGTTATTTTGGGTTCCAGCCTCTGGTAGGCAGAGTCAGGCTGGGTTAACCAGGGAGGAAAACTGTAGGGGGCCCCAACTGAAGTGGCCAGCCATAGCTCAAGAGCAGATTGGCTTTACATAATGCTCTGTGTAGATTCCCAAGATTATCTCTAAACTTTAGTGAAGTCTTACTGACTGTTTGGGTCTCACCTCTATGGCCTGTGGGGAGCTAATGGAAGGCAGCAGAGGGGGGTTTAGCTTCAAGCTGTTCAGGAGAGACGGGGAAAGCTCCTCCTGAGACCAGAGTTGTGGGAACAGCAGTAATAATGAAAGATCTCCAAAAGGAAAATGAGTTTCAGGACAGTACTTGGTCATTAGGCCCAACCACACAGCTTCCCACAGCTTCCCACAGAGTGATTTTGTTGTTGTTGCCGACCTTGGAGGATAAATGCTATTATGGGAATCACTGGATTTTCTTATATGTAAGATTCCTTTGGATTCTGAGAGTCTATGAAACTGTATTTGTCCCTGCAAGTGTCTTTGAGGTTGACTGTTTTTACTGACTGCCCTCATCCAGCTTCCAAAACGATGAAGTCCTAGGCCGTAGGGAAGGAGAGAGTATATTATATTTAAATACTGGAAAAATAGTTTCATGACAGTTCAGAAGGAGTAATGATCAATTTGGTCAAAGAAGTAAAATTTGAGGAAAAGTCAAGAAACCTAAACAAGAAACCTACTGGATAGTACTAGACAGGGCTGGGGAGGGTTGGGGGGGGTGTGGGGAGGGTAGGGGGGTGGGGACTACCTCGAGCAAACAGGTTGGAGAAGTCGGTCTCTGTGCGCCGGAAACGGCCATCCCTGTCACTGTTTTCACAGGAAAGCAGGTTCTTGGAGGACTGCCTCTCCTTGAAGGCGCTCACAAGCCGGCTCTTCTCTTCCAGGCTGTTGGTCCTCTGCAAGAAGCCTGTAGCACAAGATGCTGGGTCAGAGGGAATGCACGAAATTCCCAGCCTCAGAGGGTCAGCTGCCAGGCCAGGCCCACTGTCCAAGCAGGGTTCTTGCTTCTTCTGAAAAGAAGCTGAGTAACTGCATCTTATGTATAAGGGCGGTGGCACTGCTGGCCTTCAGGCGGGGAAGGGGCAGTGCCAAGTGTCATCAGTGGCACAGACTCAGTCATGCAAGAGAGGAAAACAGTAAGCAAAGCCCATTCTCCTCTCTGAACTCATGACTCTGAACTCAGAATTAAGTCAATTGGACAGCTTCCACTCCAGCAACCAGCCCCAGGATGGGGTTTTAAGGGGAAGGACACAGTCGGGGAGGATGCTGCTGGCACTGGGTTTATGGGCTGTGCAGCCTGAGGAAGGAGGGGGTGAGGACCAGCACTGGGGGTTAGGGAAGGTGCTTTCCTTGGGCACCAGGTAACGCTCACAGGATTGAAGGGAGGTGCAATTTTTCTGACCCAAACCTGAAGTGCAGCTGCCTCCATACCACCACCTCTCCTTGAATAAAGGTATTGGGGAAAGAGACAAGGAAGCCTAAAACCTTATGTGTGGTGACATTTCTTCCTGTGAATACTGACTGAGCACCTGTTGTGGAAAAGCACTGTGCTAAACATCTAGGACAGAGGACAGATAAATGAGACAGATCTCCTACCCTCCAGGAACTTACAGTTTGGCAGATGGGAACCAATGTTGTAATAAAGCCAGAAAGCCGCCCCAGAACCTCACAGAGCTGAACTCCTGAGCCCGTGGTGGGATACAAAGCACCTCACCTCTGCCCCTCAGAAGGAGTAGAAATCTCTCCTACCTGCGGTGAGCAGCACAAACACCACCAGTGGCAAACAGAGAAGCAGGCTGAGGCAAAAGGCCTGGAGACTGTGAACTAGGAGCACACTCCTTCCCTTAGTACCCACACCCATTCCTTCTGGGGCTCAGGACCTGCTGACCCACTCCTTCCCTCAGCATCTCCTCCCATTATGTCTCGATCTTATCCCAGAATGCAACACAATGGAAAGAAGAAGAAAGTTCTAAGCTTCTCAGTGACCCCAAAGCTTCTTTGTAGATACCAAGATCCTTGGGGAGTCATGCACATCACAAGACAGGCTTGGAGGAAAGTCCCAGGAGGTTCAAAGAGAGGCAAGTTAATCTGGGGTATTCGGCTTTACTTCCCAAGGACTGCAATTAGTGGCAAGGGGTGGAGGAAGGAGGGGTGCAGGGGAAAGCCTGCAGGGATTGGAATCCTCCCACACACAGGAGCAGGGTCTCTTTTTGGAGGGAAGAATAGGAAGGTAGAGGCCCCAGGCCTTTCATTGCTCCCAGCACCTTGTAAACTTATCACTAAAGCCCCAAAGGACATCAGGAGGGGGGTAAGATACTATAATAGAGCTCCAGGCTTGGATGTAAAGGCGGGGGTTGTATCCTTTCCCTCACCCTTCCTCCTACTTTCTTAATTTCCCATACAAACCCCAGAGTCCAAAACCAGGAGCCAGCACTCATTTGCCAGAGGCATGTAGGAGCACCTGGTTCCTGAATTCCAAGACTGCTCCCCTACTCCCGGAAAAGTGAGCTATGGAATTTGCCAGCCTGAAAAGACTAAATCCATGTGGCCTAATGGAGGTGAGGTCCTGCCCGCTGAACTCCTATTCTTTAGGGCTCTGACCTCTGGTTGGCTCTGACTCACTCCTTGGGAAAGCCTTAAGTCTCTACCTTGAAACCCCTTACGAATGCCTTTCCTCTGGGCGGCGGCAGGACCTATGACTTCGATTTAGGCTTTGGATATTATCTCCAAATCTGACACAGGCAGTTCCAGAGGTGTCCTGAAAGGATGGAGAGATGACAATTCTGACACAACTTTAAATCTGCATCTCATCCCTGGACCACATTGCCTGGAGTGCACTAAGAATCAGTATTTCCTATAAATCCTACATTTATCTTTTGAATAGCACACTTACATTGCATTATAAATTGTGTTTAAATCCATTAATTTGCTAATATAAACACTTAATGCATACTGTTATCAGAATAACAATATCTTGGAAGGCATCTGTTTTTTAAAATATTGGAAGCCTCAAAAAAGCTAAATGACCAAGGTCTCTCAAGGCTCTGAGAGGCTCTGGAAAGAAATGTACGCTTCTCCAAGGATGACCAGGTGGTAGATGACACTGAAGTCAGTGCTATGACAACTTCTCTGGCTAGCAAGGGGTCCTGGAAGCAGGGGTCCCTGAGACTGAAGCAGATTGTATTCTCTCTTGCTCTGCATACCACCTGTGAGGACCTAGTTTAAGCAGTGAGTGACTGGTAACCCAGCTCAACATTCCCAAGAGGCAAAAAAGAAAAGCAGAGGCAAACCAAAGCTGCACTTGACTTGGGTCAGCTTGTCGCTAGCTTTAAGGGGAGAACAGGAGGCAAACCCTGTCATGACTCCTCCTTTGGGCGGAGGGGAGATCCTGAGGCCGGTTCCCTACTCCTGCCCCCAAACTCAAAGGCCTAGGGGGCCCATTGAGTGGGGAGGAGTGTAGGGAACTAGAAAGCACTTGGTTTGAGCAAGTCTATGAGCTGTGCATGGCAGAAGGGTACAGGGCCAAGGGGGCAAGGAGGGCTGAAGCCCATTCCCCACCCCACCCCACCCCCGCAACCCCTGCTCTTGCTCAGCAAGCTGTAGAGTGGAATTGCATCCACCTGGAGGAAGGAACTTTTTTCCTGATTTTTATGGGCTCAAAATACCTTGCCAGATCTCCCCCGCCCCAACTTCTTATTTCAACAGAAGCCAGAAATACAGAATATTTGAAGTCTTTCTCTGTTTGAAAGTTGTATGGCAACTGACACAAAATCAAACACACACACGCACACACACTGCATGGGCTAAATAGAAGAGCTCATAGGCTGCAGCTGGCAGCCAGTTTGGGACCTCTGCATATATAAGTGATGGAGGGCCAAGGACACACTGGGAAGTTAGTAGAACCCAGAGCCCCTGCATCTCCTTCTATTTAAGTCATGCCACCATGCTTGTAGGTACCCCCATTCTACCTCTTGGCAAACCCTGGGTTTCTTCCACCTGATTATTTTCCCAGGGGATTCTGCCTCTGAAGCAAAGGGTACCACTGGTGAGACCCAGAGCCTTTTTGCAGCTTTCTTCCCTGGCTTCCAGGGAAGGGAGGTAGGAGAGGGGGTGGGAGTTGAATCTTGGCAAGGCACCGAAGATGTTTATGGGGGTCACCTAGGGCAATGGATTTGGAGGTGGGAAGAGGAAAATTAATTCTACTGCTGTCTTAATGTGAAAGGTCAGACCACCCTGGAGAGTGTGGAGAAGGCATCCTCCAGGCTCACAAATGTCTGGGATGAAGGGAGTTAGGGTGTCCCTGAGTGGAGGGTGGGAGGCTGTGGATTCAGGTCCAAACCAAACACTGCACTTCGGAAAGCCACAGTTGGTCCAAGGTATGGGAAATAAATCCGCCTGGTGTTTTGTTTCCTTTCAGAATCAAGCCTAATGTGAAGCCTCCTAACCTGTGGCCCCCAAAGCTTGCATTTTAGCAGAAGGCAAGTTCCCGCTCAACAGACTACCAGCCCTTTCCTCCTGTCAAACGGGTTAAAACATTCCTGAAATTAGTGTTGGGGTGTGTGTGTGTGTGTGTGTGTTTAGAAACTGGGAAGAAACTCTCCGTGTATGGTAGCCCCCAAATGCTCAAGAGCTCTCCCTCATAGTAAGTTGATGCAAACTCGGGGACCCCTCCCTATTCGCGGACCCAACGAAGCTCAACTCTTTCTTGCCGGTTTACCCTTTAGGGGCACTCAGGGCGTGTCTCCGGAAGGGGCAGTTCCATCTTTTCTTCCCCTAACTCGGAACGGGGCCACAGGGGACACGGCCTGCGGCGCGAGGCCGGGCTCAGGGAGTACGGGAGGGACCAAGGTGGCCGGCCAGGCAGGCCCAGGACCGCGGGGAAGGAGCCCTCACCCCAAGTCTCCCCCACCCTGCCGGCGACCGCGGCGGGCGCCTTGGGCTCGCTCAGTTCTGCTTGCCCGCCTGCATGACAATGACGGCTGCAGAAGCTGAGCGCCGTGGCCGCCGAAGGGACCGGGCGCGAAACGGGCCATTAAGCCGGGAATGGCGGCTGGGGGAGGGGGCTATTTATAGAACAAAGCTCTGCTGCCGCCAGCCTCCCCCGCTCGCCGACGCCGCCCGGGCCTAGCCCCGCGGGCCTCGCGGGCCGGGGAGAGGGCCAAACCCGGGGTCGCCCCGCGGCAGGGCTGGGCTTTCCCTGGGAGATGGCCGCGTCTAGGAGTTGAGGAACGCTTCCTCACCGTGGATCGAGGGAACAGAGCCCCAGAAGCGTAGGGAGGGCGTCTCGCGGTAAAGCGGGGAAGGGAGGATGGTTCCCAGGAGCCGCTAAGTAGCCCCTGTCCTCTCCGGGACCCCCCGCCGCCTTCCTCGGGCCCCCGGACGCAGAGAAGCTGGAAGAGCAGGCCCAGGGAACACTCGGTGGCCGGCTCGCGCTGGGGCGCTCGGGGCTGGGGCGGGCGTGCCCCGCGCCCGCTCAGCCGCTATCTCCCGCGCGCAGCCGCTGACTGATGGCTCTTTAATAAGCCCCTCGTTAATCTTCCCCCGCCCCTCCACCCCCTGCCCGGGGACGTCCGTATTTTCTGGCCCGATAAGGCTAGAGATTTTAGACGGTGAAATGTAGCAAGGAAAGCAAGTCCTCATTGTTCAGCCGGAGCCACTCAGCTGTGTCCCTTCGAACAAATCTCCTTTTTTCCTTAAAAAAAAAAAAAAAAAAAAGACGTCCCTTGGGCGTTTTCATTTCAGACCCTCACGTCTCCGGAGAACGGTTCTTTCTCTTCTCCAGCTCCCAGATCTATTTGTCTTCCTCTCCGGCAAATCGTGCCCGACACCCCTCTTGCGGCCCACGCCCCCGCCTGCCCCCTTTTCCTTCCTTCTCCTTCCAGGGCAAGCTCGGCAAACCCTCTGGCCCAAGCCGTCCGCACCTCCCCCAGGCAGGCCACTGACGGCTGCAGGCAAAGAATGAAAGAACGAAATCTGAATCCGTTATGACATCTCGGGGCACATTCTCAAGCTGGGGAGGCCACTTTCAACGTACGCTGGCGGGGATGAGGGGGGGGACGACGTGCCAGCCTCCGCCTCAGGCGGAAACCATGCCTTAGGCCTGCTCTCCCGGAAAACCTGACCAGTTCATCTCTTCAACCAGACTTTCCCCACGCAGGTTAAGACCGCACGCTTAGGATCGGCCCTGAGGCCGGCAAGAAGAGCGGGGCTGCCGCGCGGGGGCGCTGTGCTCGTGCTCTCGCGCCTAGACCCGGGAAGCCCCGCTGTCTCTTGGGAGTCCCGGACTCCAGCCGAAAATGTACCCCCAGCCGGGTCAAGGGAAGGCGGAGGAGGTTTAAGACTTGTAGACGGGCTTCTCGCCAGGCGTCGGGGCTGTAGGTACTTTAGAAAACCAAACCCAAGAGCCGGGATCTCCTTCCTCTTGCGCACCACTCTCCTAAACCCTCAAAGCCCGAGAGCTGCGCCGCCCTGCTGGGCCCCAAGGGCCCTTCCACTCACCGCAGATCTTGAGCCCCAGTTTTCTGGTGCATCCATGGGCCACGCCGCACCAGGTGTCATACGCTAGAAAGCAAAAGAGGTGCGATCAGTGAGGTTTGGAGCATGTGGGGGACCGGGTCGAGGGCAAAGGTATTCTGGGGAGGAGAAGGCAGGTCTTTCGCCAGTGCTCCTCAATAAAAACTCCTTCCTGAAAGGAGCAAGAAGCCAGATCCGTGGGCCGAAGGGCAGACTCGTGCCCTTCGAGTGCCCATGACACTCACTTCCTGCTCCCACTTTCAGGTATAGAATGGTGTCTCTGAGAGGCCGAGCACCCATGCGGCCTGCCAGGCCTCCAAGCAACGGCGGCGGGGGGGAGGCGAAATCCGAGTGGACCACGTACAAAAGACCGGGCTAAGCCGCACGTGTTACCCAGCACCCACCCGCCAGGCCCTGTCCCTTGGTCTCCGCCCTGCAGACTCGAAGGGCGACCACAGCCCGGAAAGGGAACACGGAGGCATCTGGGACCAAAACGTCTCATAATTTCTTGGCGGGTCTCCAGCCGAGTGGCAGCTTAAAATAAACTGGCATGAAATGGGGTCGCGGAAGAGTTCAGGAATTAATTGGGTGAAAAATAGTATTTGGCTGGATGATCGGGCTCGCATGGCTGCTCTTCAGTCGGACCCAGAGTCGGGAAACAATAGTGCGCCTCCGGTCCTCACCGCGGATCCCCTCTTCCCAACCTGCCCCTCATTAACCCTTCCCTCAGACATCTCAGGTCTGGAGCAGGCGAAGGCAAAGGGAATCAGGCGCCTTTCCTCCGGGTCTGAATGGCCGACCTAGGAGCCGTTGTGTTTTCCTTCTTTACCAGGCTGTTCTCAAACTCCTCAGGGTCTCTCCTGCCCTCGGGGTTCAGCTTGTAGGAAGGAGCACGGGGGTGTCTGTGGAGCCCGCGCGCGCTGGTGCAGTGGGCCCAGCGTGAAATTCCCTTCGTATCTCTCAAAGCAAGGCGCTTCCAATCACTACCATCCCCCACCCCACCCTGGTCCGAGCTTTCAGCTCCGCGCGAATGTCGGCGGCGATAAGGAGAGTGACATCCGTTAAACCCGAGGCACAACAGAGCCCCAGCGGGGAGAAGAAACAGACCGACGTCAGTGAGACAGCGTGTCACAGATGGAGTTCCTGCCACAGACAGGAAATCGGTGCGAAAGCAAAACCCTTATAATAATACCTGGCGGGTAAAGAGCTATTTCCACTCAAAAAGTGCTTTCGCTTTAAGCACCATCTTCTCTAATCCTCAGAACAACCCTATGAAACAAGAAGAGCATTCATCTAAGATTCATTTAACAAATAAAAAAATAGAGATTCAGAGAGGTTAAGCGATTTTTCCAAAGTTACTCAGCTGGGGCACTGGTGTTCAGACCCAAAGCACTGCCTTTCAGAGTTGGGGGTTACAGTAGTAAAGGGACAGAGGGATGGGGAGAGGAAGTGAGAGATCCCCTTTGGTGTAGAGAAGGTTCAGAAAACCAAGTGGCAAAGGGCAGGGAGACGGTGTCGCCGCAGCAAGAGGCTGAGTAAGGTTGTGCGGATTGAGCAAGGCCACCTCCCAGGAGACCTTGGAGAGAGAGAGAGAGAGAGAGAGAGAGAGAGAGAGAGAGAGAGAAGCGGAGCCCGCTGGGCGGGCGAGGGTGTGTCTGCAAGGGAGGACGAGAGCGGGTAGAGAGCCCGGCGTGCGCCTGAAGCCTAGGGTGCCCAACCCGCAGCTGGGCTGCCCCGGGGGGGCGGGGCGCGACGGCGTTCTCAGGACAGGTGCTGCGCGCTCTTCCCAGGCAGGGGCCTCGACTATCTTCCCTCTGCCTCGGTGCCTTCCGGGCGCGCCAGGCCATGTGCGAACTCAGGTCAGCGCCTCCACTGGTTCTCGGCCCTGAGGTCGGGCGTATGCGCTCCACCGCGGGCTGCCACCGGGAGGTAAGGTTAATCCGGGTGGGGTGGGATGGGGGCAGGACTCTGAGGTGGGTGAATACTGCGGTCGCCCTGCCCTGTCAGGCAGCAAAAAAGGGGCGGGAAATGTGGAGAGGTCTGGGAAAAAAAAATCCATCAAGGCCAGAGCAACAGACAAAGGCGGGCAGGCCTCGCGTTCCTCCCGGCCTGATCCGGCCAGCGGCCGCCAGTGCCCGGCTCACGTGCCACCAGGGCTGGCGGCTCTCCCGATCCCCTCTTTGTTGTGTGGGTAATTGTAGCTCGCCTGGGGGGCGGGGAGAGGGAGCTGCAAAGGGAACTGAAACGCAACCTCAGGACTTAAGACAAGGCCTCCGGGCCCGGGAGCCAGTGGCTGCGCCAAGGGACTGGAGAGGGGGCTCCCCGGATAACATTCCCCCATCTTCGTTGATGGGAACGATCGACATTTTCTCAAGCTTATAGAAATTGCCATAAGAGCATAGCAATAAGCCCTCCTAACCACACTGCCATTCCTAAACCCCTCTTATATAGAAAATCTGGGGCTGTTACTACTGGAGCTGATAGATTGGGGGAGGAGGACTCATTTCAACCCAAATTGCAAAAAAAGAAAAACAACTCCTCCATCGCCAGACTTCTACAGAAAGGTAGGAAATAAATCTGAATTAAAGACCAATTCTGGAAATGGGCTGAAGAGCACACTGAGCTAGAGGTGGGGAAGCAGAGAGCTCACGTCCCCCCTTTTATCTGGTTCCCCTTTTCTTCTCTTTTGCCGACCTGTCAATTGCTGACAGATCTCCTGCCCTGGAGAAAAGAGAAGGGTGCTCTCTCCTCCCGCCCTGGCAAAGCTTCTTGCCGCTTCCTGGCTCCCCACCTCTCTCCACTCAGGTTGCTGCCCGCTCCTGGTGTTTTGTTTGTTTGTTTGTTTGTTTGTTTTGTTTTTTTTTTTGTTTTTTGGTCTGAGATGTAATTAATTGTCTGAAATGTCGTTTTATGCACCTTTCTCGCCCCTGGCTTCTCCCTCACTCCTCAATAGCTCGACGCAAATTTGGAGCAATTAGGGACCCCGAGTTTTCTAAAAGCTGCAATTAACGTCGAAATTTCCGCTGATTATAGACTTTGAGCACAGCGCAGGGGGAAAGGAGGAGGGGGTCAGATCTCGGCTCAACGAGAGCTGGAGACAGAAAACTCTATTCCCGCCGAGACTAGAGTCTCCTCACACCGCCCTCTGCCCCGACCCCCCGTCGTCCCACCAAGCCAAAGAAACCACACACGACAAAAACAACACTCTCGCCGCCCGTCCCTCCCCCGAAGCGAAGCCCCCAACGATCGCCGCTGCTCGAACCTTGCGTGGTTCCCAATTTCCAGCGCCCCAGAATCGCCTGGCATTTCTGGCGGTCAAACGACCTCTGGCCGAGACCCAGGTCAGGGCCCCATTTCTTTCCAGCCTCCATCGTCTCCACGCTCCCCCTTCCCTTTCCACCAGCGCAGCCTCCTCACGTCCCAGCGCCCCCATCTTCCCCGCAGTCCATTTGATAGGAAACTGGGGCAGAACCTACTTGTGGGGCGCAGGTTGGTAGTATTGGGGTCCGCTCCCGCATTCGAGGAGGTTGCGGACGAAGAAGGGGTCGAAGACGCCATCAGCTTGGTCGTCCCGGGGCCTCTGCTGTCCGGGGTCCTCGGCCAGTCGGGCGCAGGAACAGGCTGCAAAGAGATGCGAGAGCAGTGCGGGGAGGGCTTCCGGGGTCCTGAGCGGGAGGCGACTGAGCGGCCGGGGGCGCGGACGCTCCCCCCAGAAGTCAGGGCTTGGGACAGAGAGGCGGGAGGAAGGGCACCTAACAGGCTGAGTCGGGGTGCGCCGAGGGGAGGAGGAGACGTGCGCGCGAGCTCTGGGACTCCGGCGCGGGCAACGTAGCCCGGAGCTGCTCTCCAGTCTGGCGGCGGAGCGGGGTGACCTGGAGGGCAGCGCAGAGACTAGGGGAGCCCAAGGCCAGTTCAGGGCGCAGGGGTGCGGGGGATAGGGCTAGGAGGGCAGGGGAGCCTCAGTGCGCGATTTTCCAGCCGAGCCAAGACAAGCCCCATTGGGCTCTCAGCAGCCGGAGGGCGGGCAGGCAGGGGGGAGTGCGCACGGGGCGGGCACGTCTGATTCGGTGTCTGGTTCCCGTTGTTGTGTCTGGTTAATTCCCTGGAAAGAAGGAGGCTAACTGCTCCGAGGACCGGGGACTTTGGTGAGACGCGGTGAGAGGAAAAAAAGGGTCCATATCTTTACGTTCTCTCTCGGACTTGGCGGGGAAGAACTACAGTCACCTTGCACTCTAGACAGCCAGAAAGCAGCGGGTCGGAACCTTGTCTCCCTCTTGTCCCACCCCGTTTTGAGCCACCTGGAAGCCTAGGACGAGGCCCGGTCTGGGTTTCTGTGTTCCCTCTCCACCCAACTCTCTGAGGTCCCCAGATTTTTCGCTGTACAAAGCCGAAGAGGTTGAGTGTGGCAAGAAAGGGGAACATTACTGGGGAAACGAACTTGCCCTCTGGGCTCGGAAGGCGGCAGACTAGGATCAGTGCGCGACGGCCCTGTACTAAGCTCCGCGCTGGCGCGATGGCTACCGAAGGCCCCGGGACAGAGGTGCCGGCCAATCTGGGTAGGTCTAAGACCCCGCAGAGTAGCACCTGCTCGCCACCGCCTTCACACGCACCCTGGGATCCCACACCTAGCCCTGGGCGCTCATTCATACTGTAACGCCGGCCACGGTAGACCGCAGCTTCTGGGGAAGTAACAGGTTACCGCTCGGAGTCGTGCCTTTGGCAGCTGTGGCTCAGGAGCCCTTTGGTGAGACAGGCGCTCACAGCCGGGAAGCGATGGGGAAAATCCTCTCTCCACTTCAGCGCGGGTGTCAGCCTCTGGGCATCCCTAGGCGTGAATTTCGCTGGTGGGGGTAGGATGAGCGCGAGGTCGGGGGTCGCTGCGCCGCGCACCAAGGGAGAGCCGGGAGTAGGGCAGGCGGGACGCGTTCTGCTAGGGAGGGTAGATGGCTGTCGCTGGGAGTGGGGGTTGGCCAAGAAACCGCGGGTCGAGAGGACCCAGCTGAACAGCTGAAGCCGGGCACTGGGAAGTCCCGGCGGCCGCGCGCTTACCCACCTGGGCTAGGCGACAGCAAGCAGGGCGCTCCTGCAGCTCTGCGCAGCGCGCAGCGATCCGCTGGGCCCCGGCCCTGCCACAGGCGTAATGTTCCCGGCGTCACCTCCAGCTGCCGCCGGGCTCCCGCCAGCACCGTCCCGCACGCGAGCGCGGGGAGAAGAGAGCGGTCGGGAGAGGCAGCTGGTAGGCTTCGGGGGAGGCGGGGGCGGAGTGGGGAGGCGGGGACGGCTCGGCGGGGGAATCACGAGGCCGCTGCTCGCGGGGGCAGCTCGTCGGCAGAGCGGTGGGGCTCCTTTGCAGGTGCCTGATCGCCTCTGGAGCTCTAAAGGGCGATTATGAATCCAGATCACGGTTCGGGGCTCGGGAAAAAAAAAAGGCCCTATGAGTAATCCGGAACGTACTCAACATGCTCTATTTTTTGAAAGAGGGTGTCGGGTAAGAAGAGGGAAAAGATAATTCCTATGAAGAGTTCTGCCTCGTTGAGTGCTTCTTCTTCATCCCTCTCCCCCTTTCCCTTCCCCTCCCATATTTTCGGGAAGACTACAACAGTGGCTTTGCCTCAATTTCTTTCCTCGCGGTTGCCCCAGATCTACGACCCCGCGACTCTTACCTTAGTAAAAGCGAGCTCTGGCGTTGTGTCCTCGCTGGCTCTCTCCTGAGCCAGGACTGTTGTAAAAGCAAATGAGGCAGAGATTGGAGGGGAACACTCAGACCCTGGAGGAGACCCCGTCTCTTTCACTTCAGTTTCTTCATCCAGCCCAGAGCCTCCCCAAAGTACTTTACCTGAGTACAAGTACCCACTGCCACCCGCAGAGAAAAGGTCCCGTTTCCCACCCACTGTACACTCCCTGCTAGTTTTGGTCCTCTTGGTAATGGGGAAAGAAGTCCTCCTGACTGATCGCATCTGAAGGTTAATAACACGCACGAACGCGGCTTCACACAAACGGAAACCCAAGCACAGAGGTGGCCCCAGGGGGCGGGGTGGGGGTGGGCAGCGGACCGTCCCTCCCTGCTCTGCCCACTCTCCTCACCCCCCCCATGATTTTGCGCTTTTTAAGGATTCTCCCTTTGCATTATTTAAGCATATTTAATGAATTACCGCGTTCGGAAAAGCCCCTCACAATAAGAAGGCGTTCGCCGAAAATTTTCCACCAGGGGGCGCCAGGCGCACAGAGACCGCGAGGCCCTGTGCGGGAGGGGTCTTCTCTCGCGGGAGCTAACTAACACCTGGAAGGATGGTCTGGGCTCTATTACTCTCCCGCCTCTTCAAGCCATCCCTCAGCCAGCCTCGTCCCTAATCTATGTTCTCCTCCTTCGTCTACCTCAGTGTCTTTTTCTTTAGGGCAAAAAAAAAAAAAAAAGTTGATCTTTGTGTGTGGCTGGCTGATAGCGTGTAACCAGTGATTCCTTTACTCGTTTCACAGTGATTTTTCCCCCCTGTTGCTGTGCAGCAGGCAGGGGTTATTTATGGACATGTCTGCGGCCTTGCTGGTCCAACCGAAGCCCGTACCTTCTCTCTGAACGTCTTACCTCCTTTCACCACGACAGAAAATCTTACTAATAACCGAAAATTCCCTAATAAGATCGAAGATTCCGCCCTAAGAAGATATAGTCCCGTTAGTAAGAGGGATAGCGCTCTGAGGTTTGAAATAACTGCGTTGCCCTTGATACTGAAGAAAATACTGTTGTCCTCTCTCTACCTCACAATAAAAGCTCGGGCACTTTTTAAGGACACAAAAGCATCCTGAAAGGCGGCGGGAGGGCAGTCACCGCAGCTGTGGGCGCAGGAGCTCCCGGCTGGGCAAGGTGGGCGTGCCCACTCAGCGAAGGAAAGAGCCCTTCAAAACCTTGCACCGCTATGCTTGAAATGTGCGGTTGACTCCGAAATGAGGCTCGGAATTCCACCCACGCCCCCTCCTCAGGCCTCCCTAAATGAGATGGTTGCACCAATCAGAGAGCCCAGTGCCCGTGCTAAATCATGGAAGACGCAAGGAGCAAGGAGACTGGCGGGAGGAGGCAACAAATCCAGATGCCCCTCAGGGTCCGTTGTCCCAGAAAGATGCCCGCTCGCCCTGGCTCCTCAACCCTCTCCCAAGACCCGAGATTCCCCGGAAAGGAAGATTCGTTTACTTTCACCTGCGGCTTGAGACTGAGAAATTTCCAGCCACTCCCTCTTCTGACCCCAGTGTCCAAAATGTTCACCCCTAACGTTTTAGCCAAGAAAATGATCCTGTTGGTAAAAGAAATCTACAAAAAGCAGGTATCACAAATTAAAGTTGAGTCCGTCCAACTGCGAGGACATCCCTCCCTTTCTCCTTTATGGAGGGGAAGGGAATGAAGTCTCGTCCTTAATTTAAAAATGTTTAAATATTAAAAAATTAGGTAATTAAACGAATATTTATTAATCACTTACTCTGCGACAGGCACTGTTCTCAGGGAGTTTTACACTTTCCAGCAACTTACATTATCTCTGCACTCATGGCGCTGACATTCCAGTTACGCAGGGAAAGTAACAGACTTGGGGACTTACGGTTTTGGTTTAATTTCCAATTATCTCCCATTCCAACCTAGACTCTTGGACTCAGCGAGATGTTAAGGAGCTAAGGGCCTGGAAATTATAGCCAGTGAGTTGGGAGACAGGGCACGGCTGTGTCAGGACCACGGACAGCGCCCGCCGTTCTGTCCCTTAGGCCTGCCTTTCTTTAGTCGGCTTCAGTCCCCAGCTCTCGGCCAACCGGCCCCACAGACCCTGCCCGCCTCCCTCCCGGCTGTAACTGTGGTGTTTTCCCCCTCTTGGAGTGGGGGCTGGCGAAATAGAATATTTCGTCCTCTCCTTCTCGGTAAGAATTTGTAGTGAGGGTGGTTGTGCTTGTCTTTTGGCTCTTTAGAACATTTGGAATCCCTATTTTTGTTTGTTTCTCATTATTCTTTTTATCTTTTATTACTCCCGGGGTGGTGGGGAGGAGATGCTGTGGACAATAGGGTTGGAAAATAGATATCCTCTACAGGGACTCGAACCGGTGGTGAGGGGTGGTCCGGAAAGGAGTGGTGTCCGCCCAGCTGTTTCGTTTGCGTTTGATGTAAGGTTTAGAGCTTTGAAGAAATGGGAACGCTGAGCCCAGAGGCGGAAGGAGTGGGCGAGCGTGAGCCCTCCGGTCTCTCCTGGGTGTTAGGGGTTTCCGAGCCTGCAGCCGCGGCTGCTCGATCCTGTCCACCCAGGACAACCTTCCTTTAGGTCAGCGACGGCTGGGACTTGGGAACACGACCCTCCGCCCACAATGCCCTTTCCCAGGGATATTTAAAGATATTCCAATCGGATTTGGAGCCGAGCCTTTCGGCAAAAGAAAAAAAGGGAATGGGTGGGAGGAAAGTAGGGCGTGGAAGGGGCCCCAAACAGGCTGCGGGAGAGATTTTTATGCGTAAAATATGGTCCACGTCAAGGTGAGTAAATGAGAAATGTCACTCTTTTTTTTTTTCTTTTAAACGCATGTAGTATTTTTAGCTTCCAGGAAAGGTAATTTGGAGCCACGGTGTTGGTTCATTTCAGCTGGCTCTTTAAGGTCTATTTTAAGTATCTAATTTATGACCAAAAAAGAAGGGGAAAAAATGGCAGTGCTCACCGTTTAAACGTCTGTCTTCTGAGACGAGAGCCGTGGGAAGCGTTGTTAACCTTACACTCAGCTTTTCTTAAGTCGAGGCTAAAGCCTATTCGGTGTGTTTGCGTACTTTAAAGATAGTTCCCAAATTATTCTGGACTTTCTTTGGGGACCATCGCTAAATCGACACCCCTACTTCAACAGATCACACCATACTCACTCCTGAGAGGCAGGAAAGGGTTAAAAGTGTGGCGAGGAAAGCAGAATTTCAGCCAGAACGCTGGAAAGGACTCCGGAAATTACAATCTTTTCTCCTAATGAAGAGAGCTGAGTTCCTCAGATAATCGTCAAATGGTCCCTTCCTCCTTGGTATTCAAAACATGAAAATATTCTAATATTAAGGAAATTAATCAAGGAGGACACAGTGATTTGTATTTGGGCAAATCTTGTGTAAATCTTAAACCCAATTCCTGCTATTCCAAACACGCAGACGAGGGACCAGCAGGTGGCGATAGATTACAATTTCTGAGAGGAAACAACAGCCCCACAAGGGAGCAGTTCTTCAAGGAAAACTGCAGGCCCGTCCCCGTTCACATTCATACCCTGCCATATTTCACAAAGCAGGGCTGTTTAAAATGCTGAGAGATGCTGCCGGAAGTAGCCTGAAACACCCAGGGTCTCTGTCCCTTTGGTGAAAGAGACGGGAATGTGAATATCCATTTCCTTCCCCACAGAGCTTTACCCCAAAGGTAGCCTTAGGAAAGGAACTCTTTGATAGAGGCAAGGTATTTCACTGCAAAAGTGGACACCAAGGAAATAACAGATCTGGACTGCAATTCTGACGGAGGGCTTTCAAGATGTATCTATATTTTCTACTCTTCTTTCAACAAAAACTAAGGCAAAATCAGTCTTTTCCCAAAAGAGTGGGAGGCAACAAAGTTGATTTCCCACATGAGATGCTTTGGTGAAATGGTATGGAATGGGAGAGTGGCTACAATAATATTTTATCCATTTATTTCAGTGTAAAAGCTCTGAACTGTTTAAAATAACAGGAAGTTAGCCTTTGTTTTTAGATGTAGGTGACTTGGACTATTGTTTATGAGAAGCCTCTGGAAGGTTCTGACTCAGTCATGGAAAATCTGAGAATTTAAATTTCTATTTCAGATTGGGTTCCTTTCCTAATCCTGGCCAGTTACTCCGGGAAGAAAACTGGAAATTTAATGGGAGGGATTCATCTGAGCTGTTGTAGCTCAGTCCCTTTTATGTCAAGAGCTTACATGTAAGAGCTCACTGGAATGTATTCACAGCTAAATTTCTCACCTGTATCATCTGCAAATCAGTACCATGGGTTTCCCCAAAGCAGTTAGTCACCTGGAGCTGATTCTTTCTCTCTTACCCTCAGTTCCAAGACTGTTTTCTTTGCCTTTGGGTAAGTCAGGGACCCCTCAAGCAATGCCTAAATATGTGGGTTAAATGATAATATCTTCTCACTGGGGCTATAGACACATTATCTCAACTTCAAAGCCAGGGACAAGCCACAGACAAGCGGCTGAATAGACAATATAT